TCGCTTATGCTGTCAGTCCGTCCATTTGTCTGTCAATGTGCTCATTTAATATTGACGATGTTATTAAATGAATATTGATTGATATTTCATTTGTCAATGTGTTAGTTGGCTAGTTTGTTGGGGTTTGTATGCAGTTGGCGCTTTGTTCTGGCCAACAGCCGTCCTACCTTACACTATGCTCATTTATTTATTTAATGTGCACTGAAAACAGTCAATAATTTTTAAAAATCGAATTATATTTAAAATTTGAATATGTTTTTCGCTGGCTGCAGGTAAAGTGTGCTTTTATTTTTTATATATACACAAAATTAACCATCATTAATTGTAAGGATTGTGGAAACCCAGGAATCAGACCAAAAACTGATTATATATTTGTAGCTTAGTGTTAAGGAAAGTTGATGTTATGTTTAAAGGTATCTCTTTCTTTAATGCGTTATGAGTTGTGTATGAAGGCCACAAAAATGGAATAAAGTTAAGATGACCACAGATGGAAGATTAATAATAAAAATCTTACTAAAATACGATGACAAACGAAAACTGGGATACTTGTTAAGATATGAACCCAAGCCAATTCAATGAACATGATTAGACCATTGGAAAACAGAATATTTCGCTCGAAATACGGATAAATATACTTAGCCAAAATGCACTTATACGAATGAGTCCAAACTTCCACACGACTTCATTAAAAAAAAGAAACTATTCATTATAGTTTATAATTAATATTGTTCACATAACTTAAATATATATTTTTGAATGCAATAATCTTAATTATAATGAAACTATTTTTAAATTACTTGAATCGGATAATAAAAGAAGAAAGTCTCTTATTTAAATTAATAAACAATTTTCAATAATAATACTTATGCCAAGAAGTTGAACTTAAATATGCCTTGTTGAAGACTTGTGAAACAAATTTCACTCTTCGCTTACGTATAACACATTCAGGGATAATTTTGGTTAAAACATTGGACGCGGCAATTGAGGAACAAAGAAGTGGGAACAGAACAGGTGGCAAAGAAAACATTCGGGGCGTGCCTCGACTTGTGGGTGATATAGGTTTTCGCGATTTGTGTGGGCGGCAATGGGCGTGGCCAATAAATCAACAATCTTAGCCGGTTCTTAGGAATGTATTTTACAATTTTGATGACTCTAGCTCACAAACGGCGCGAGAAATAGACATTTCCGAAGGACCGTGATAAAAAAAAAATGTGTTTAATGAATTTACCTTTAGAATTATGAGAGATATGTGGTTTTATTGCAGTGCATTTAACGATGCTATCGATTTCCTAACATCACAATTATAACACTTTACCTGACACAAATATTTATTCCAAGTTTTAAGTCTCTTCTACCGTCGAAAAAAATTATATCAATTGAAAGTATTATAAATCCTTTCAATAGCTTTCTGATTGTTAAAGGGTTTTCATACAGCCGTATAACTGCTATATATATATATGATATGAGGGAAAATATAGAAATATGACAATATATGGAAAATCTGCACGATTTTTGTTTAATTTTCTCAGTTGATGTAGCATACTTTTTGAGGGCCAGCAAGGCAACAAGCTTCATGAATCAGGCAAATGCATTGTCTGAGCAAATTTATTTATGCATAGCTCAGATTTGCATATTTTATTTCATTGTTTGATACTAATCGGGAGTAGTCTAAATACGAGCAGGTGTCACAGGTGGTCAAGGAAACTTGCCACGGGAAAATCAGTAACAAAAAGCAGATGTCAAAAAGTGTTGCCAGCGTTTTTTTTTGTTTTACAAGCAATGTGCATGTGTGTGTGTGTGTGTGGGTGTGTGGGTGGGTGTGGGTGTGGGTAGCATGCCAATTGTATTTGGCTGTCACCTGCTTTGAAAATTATGGTTTCACAAGGCAGCAAACAGCAAGAACAAGAAGAAGAAGAAGAAGAACTGCACATGAGGCAGAAGCAGAAGAAGCACAAGCGGAACAAACAGAAGCAATAGAAGAAGAAGAAGAATAGCAATAGTGCCACTCTATTGGCCTCTTTGCCGCAGACAATCTGTCACTTGATACACGCCATTTTCACTAAGCGCCGTCCAGCAACACTCCCCCTCTCTCTCTCTCCCTCTATCTCTCTCTCTGTGTCTCTCTCATACAGACACACACGCCGTACACCATGCCCATGGCAGGGTGCTAAGCTGCTGGCCGCTTGCTGATTGTTACCTTGTTGAGATTCCCCACACGGTCACACATCAGGCCCCGTTGTACGGGCGCAGCGCAGCGAAGCATTCCAAACGATGCGATGCCATACAAGTGATTGTCGATAGGACGTGGGCGTGGGCGTGGGCGTGGCACTGGCAGCTAGGGGCTGTATAGTGAGGGGCGTTTGGGGTGTGTGGGGTCAGTTAAAGGTGTCACATGCATGCATAGAACAATGTTATTTAATTTTTGTTAGCTTGGTCAACACGAGGTTTCCTACAGATTGCACCCCACTCAAACCGCTGTCGAGTTAACCACCCTATAGTGGTGCATGCAATATTGTTGCAAGTGTGGCAAGTGCCAGTGGCCAGTGGAGTTGCAATTACATCGCTCGTGGCGGCATCATATTTCCCAGTTGCCTTGTTTTTTTTTTTGTTCTTTTTGTTTTTCCTTTTGGAACTGGGCTTCAGCGTCGAGCAACCTGCCTCAATGATTCCTTTTGACTTGAAGAGCCCCATTCCAATGTGGGGGGGGGGGCTCTTTCTATCCGTCCTCCACGATGTTCTTCTTCTTCTTCTTCTTTGTCTGTTTTCTTGTTCAAATGCTGTTGCTTGCCTTCATTTTTGATTTGCAGTCGAACTAGCGCCTAAAACTAGGCAGCGACTGTTTGCTTGCACTAATATATACAGTGATACCTCGACGATACGACTTTCTTATAAATTGATTTGTAAATTATACTCATAGCCAATGATTTTTACAGCGGATTCTTGCAACAAAGAGTTTATTTATTTATTTATTTAACATTTTTTGCTGCTATTTTTCAGTTAAATTATTACTTGCGAATTATTTGATTTATATTTATAATAATGATAATATATATGAATAATGATTATGACTTCTGCATTTTTAATGCAAAAATGAATACTTAATTAATTATACTATTAGAGTTTTACTTGTCTCTGGTTGAATAAACAAATGATATTCAACGAAAAAATCAATGAATAATAATAATATAAGAACAAAACTCATTTCTAGACAATGCTTATATATCAGTGACTACTGTACACACTGCCCAATAATGATATGTATTACAAAGTCACAACCACAAACCTATACACACACACACACACATCTGAGACTGCGGCTTGCATTCGCCCGACACGTAGGTGCATGTGTGTGTGTGTGTGTATACACACGCATATGCGGGCAGTTGAAGAAATTGATGACAACAACAAAAAAAACAAGAGGCAGCGACAGGAACAACAGCAACTTTGCCACTTGAGGGATGCGACGTGAACAGAGAAAAACGCTTACGCTGACGGCGACGGCGACGACGAAACCGACGCCGACGTCGACTTCATGTGGCAATGTGGCTCACCTGCAACTATAAAAGCCGCCCGTTGGCCTGAACATTGTCTCAGTTAAATATTCTTAATTAAACGACAACAGCGACGAGCAGCAACCAGCAACATTAGTCAGCAACAATAATTTTGCATTGGCTAGAAAAGCATATTATTTAAAAATATGTAAATAATTTTTTTTCAAGTGCTCACACTGCATCAAATAAGGATACAGCAAAAATATACAACTTAACACATATATTGTTTTTTTTTTTTTGTAAATTTGTGAAATTGAATTTTGACTCCTGGAAAAATCATCGATTTACATGGCAAGTTTTCAAAAGCAAATCAAATAAAATTTGATGTCAGTTAATGGAAGCGCAAAGTGCAGCAAATTTTGTATAATCTTTGTTATTAGCTTTCAATTTGTTGCATTTATTATTAATGAAGACCACAGGACGACCACAATTGAAAATCAATAAGCGCTTCGAATTTTAAGTTTCATATCAACAATTCAAAAGAGTGTCACCAACTTTCGATTGGGAACTAAAACAAATGTCGGCCCCTGTGTGGCTTATCATTAATTCAGCACGATTGAAATTGCATCAAATACGCCCATATCGAAGTTCTCTTCAAATGGAGGACAGGACGAGTAAGTTGATGACAGTCAAAACTAATTTTTAAGTGGCACACAGTGAAATATGAATGGCGCTCAATAATCGGAGCTTATTGGAGCTGCTGGCCACTGCACAAGATTAGATTCAAAAGACTCTTGTGCGTGTGACAGCGGCTATTGTAAGAGACCAGATAACATCAAGCCATATCAATAGAAACAAATATTATAATAACTAAATCCATTCCTTCTAAGTGTTCAAATCTGCATGTATATCAGTTTTCTATATTATTACAAACATGCCCTGTATGCACTGACAATTAGGTTGACTTAAATTTACTTATTCCAGTATTAAGGTTTCCAGAGAAGCCCTAAATATGCATGGAATAATTGCATTTACGTATGTTCAGCTAACAAAATAACGTAAAGCTATTAGCTTGCTATATCAGAACATCAAAATAAAAGAACATTATTTACAGGTAATTGTATTAATTCCGCAAAGACAGGACAATTTTTATAATAATAGCATTATTTAAATTCAAAATTGCCATTGTCATAGGAGATAATAACAAATGTTACGTTGTCAGTTTGCTGTATTACATGAAAAATAGGTAATCTAAATACTCTTAGCATTATTAGTATTTACAAATTTCTTATACATTTGCAATTTGTGCCGTTTCTTAATCAAATTAACGTTTGAAATTTAAAATGGGGCCTTCGCTTCAGCGCATGTCCGTGAAGTTGGCTGCACGCAAACTGCGCAGTCACGTGAAGTCGGCTGCACGCAAAAATTTCACTCACGTGAAGTTGCCTAATAATTGTTGACACGAAGCAACAAGGACAACAACAATAATAAAACCGACCAAATTGAGCAAAACAGCTGACAGCTAGTTGTAAACAGATAAACAGCCAGAAAGTCGCAAGCGTTAAATGCATTAGTGATAAAGATGACGCCGCCGCCGCCGCTGCCACCAGCAGATGCAACAAAGCCACAACAACAGCAGCCACCACCACCAATGGGTCAAACCATTGCACCCACTGGCGCCTTTCCAGGTAAAACTCAAAGCTTGCTTGATAGTTTTTTTTTTATTTTACAAACTACTATTGTTTGTCTCGCTCTTCGGGCTGTTAGGTTCACTCACACCCGGATGGAATGATCCGCCGCCAATCAGCAGCACGGACGGCACGAGCAACGCCAGCAATCGACGTCCTCGTCTCGATCTGCGCAAACGCGTCGCCCATCCCATGAACGGAAACGAAAACGGGAATGGAAATGAGGGCAATCAATCCCAAAACAGACAATTGCCACCGCCACTCTGATCTGGCAACGCTCTTCGTCGGAATTAAATGTAACTTGTGATTCCCTGAGAATTCTTTAACACCCCAACAATAATAGACACATAGATCGAAAACAAAATGTATTTTTATATATATATACACACATATGTACAATGGTCGATATATACGGACTACGAATTTGCATAAGGGATTCGAACAGAACAGAACAGAAACAAATTAAATCAATTCCCCATTTGAAAGATGTCAATTTCCAATTACATATTTGTTTGGTATATTTTTACCAGGGCAACTGGGCGCCATCGTATTGATAGAAACCGCCATTGTGCGACTCGTTCAGCTGACAGATGGTGTCCACAATCTGTTTAGTGCTCGTGTCCACATCCAGCGGTGCATTGCCGCCGCCCATGTCGGTGCGCACCCAGCCGGGATGCATGCTGATACAGAGTATGCTCTGTGGCTTCAAGTCGATGCTCATCGATTTAGTGGCCGCATTCAGAGCCGCCTTCGATGTGCGATATGCATACATGCCACCCTCCACATTCGACTCGATGGAGCCGAGAATGGAGCTCATATTGATGATGGCGGCACGCCTGACACCCATCAACTCGGCCTCGTTGGTCACCGATGCCTGCTTGAGGAGTGGCAGACAGGCTCTGGTCAACATTATTGGAGCAACGGTATTTGTGTGCAGCGTACTGATCAGATCCTGCTCTCGGGTGGCTGCAAGGCGCACTGACTTAGGCGCCATGCCGGCATTGTTGAAGAGCACATTAAGGCCGGCATCTTTGGTTACAGCGCTAATTTGGCCAACCAGTTTATCGTATTCACCATAGTTCTTCAGATCTGACAAAACAGAGAGCTAAAAGTTAATCTCCAATTTTTTTTATATTTAGACGCTTACCAATCTCAAGAATGTGTATGTTCGAATGCTTCTTGGCCAGTTCCTGCAATTCCTAAAGAAGAAAAAACGAAAAAATTTAATATATTTATTGCTTTACATAAATGACGCTGGCAAAAATAAACGGATCAAGTTTTCTTTTAATATATCCGTTAAAACATATACCGATAAGTATTTTGTTGGCAATAGTATCGATATCCGTATCGATATTCTTCGATCATTTAAGCCGTTAATTGGGAAAACAAGATCATTTTTGCTGTATCGAAAAACCAGCGATAGATGTACATTTTATTTCAGATTTTGCTCACTAAATTTAAACACATTATAAATTAGAATAAAAAATGATGATTTGGAAAGAAGCACGCGCCGATTTATTTGCCGATAAGCCCCGTTGGAATATACTAATTTTGTTCTTTCGACACCAACGAACAACTGTTCACAATATCAACACATGTTAACAGTCAGTTAACAGTGTTGATTTCAGTTCTGAAGCGAGCTGAATCACAGCGTTTTTTACATGCAGTTTTTCATTATCGATAACTTTTGTTTGTGGTCTGAAAGCAGGCATTTAACAACACAATACAAGAGCATCGATACTTGCTCGCTAAGCGCCGGCATGTTCTGCGTTCCACAACTGGAAAGTGAACTGCAAGAGTATCGAAGCCCAAGTCAAAGCATCGAACCGAAAGCGTAAAAGCAATTGCAAAAAGTTTACCGCTTATTTCGCATTTGCGTTTGCTGACGAGAGTGTGACGCGGAGCAGCCGATTTTTATAGCTATTCGCCTCTAACAAATTTCGAGCTTGTTAATAGTGTGTTCTTGTGTATTCTGCGGCCGCAGTTGAAGTGTGTTCTCCTACTCAATATTAAATATTTGGAAATATCTACTAATCTTGCTTATTAGCCTGAAGCACTTGCCCAGACTGCAAAACATGGCGCCCGTAGATGGTAAAGGTGAGTAAGTCGGAGCTGGGTGATGCCAGCAGACGAGAATAATTTAATTGCTCTCCGTGGTTCTGTCATCGTTGCGGACGAAGGGACGGATAGACGGGTTAGGCTAGTGTTGTTGCCATATATTTTTGCTTTTTAATTCGCGTAGTTTCTTTCGCATGAGTCATGAATTGTTGGCATTTTTTTCTTTTACTTACTGTGGCCTGCTCCAAGTTGCGACAAGTCGTAAAAAGATGCTGGGGCGGCTCCGGCAATGCGTTCAACGCCTTCACCAGACCCAATCCCAGCCCACGATTGCAACCCGTTATTAAAATGGATTTCATCCTTATTGTCTTTGCTGTTGTTTCCACTTGAGTTCGTCACGAAATCTAATCGTGTAATTGAGATTAAACACAATAAAACAGTAAAATTTAGTGTCGAAGCTAAAGTTGAAAATGAAACTGACACAGACAACGTAAACTGGCACACTGTGCTGCTTATTACGCGCTCCTCGAGGCTGGCAACGTTAGCTTCTTTTTGTGATTGCGTTTATCGCACATTTCTATTTTAGAGAACAATTCGGCAAAGCGGCCGGCGGCAGCTGACAGAGTTGCCAGAGAGCTGTTCGCAAATAAATTGATAAGCATACGGATTGGCAACCTTGTGACGACGACTAACCAACTGTTGCTATTATGTATTTCCAGGAGGCAATTATATAAATGCAAATGTTGTTTATTTTTTGTGCGTTTTAGACGAATTTTTGGTTTAACATAAGTGTTTGACGACCCTAAATAAAGCAGCCGTCATCATCTTCGTTGGTTTCGCTTTCGACTCGCATTCGCGTTCAGCAGCGTTGCTACTGCTGCTGCTGCTGCTGTTACGTAGCGAGTGTCGCTGCCCATACTTTCCACTCATTCCAAGCGCCGTGACGACGACGACGACGACGACGTCTCTTTTTATTTTTGTTTTAACTGCGCGTCTGTGATTTCACCAATTCAGCTTGAGAATTTTTACACCATAACTCTCCTGCGGGCAGACGTGCTTCAACATAAATATTTATAATTTATACACCTGCAAATATGTCGCTTACATTGTGGAATTCGAGATTTTGTGTAACGTTAGTGCGACGACAGCATGCAACGATATTTACGTCAAGTGCGTCAAAAACAATCGCTGCCAATAGTCTACACCACACGTTCAGTAACAATTATCAGCAACAACAGCATAGAAATCTAACAACAATGAAGCCAACTAATACTGCTGTCGCAGAGAAGGGCACCAGCCGCAGTTCGCGTATCTCCGCCGATGGCTCGACCAGTGCAACCGGCATCAATGTGCCACCCTTTAATCATCCCCACTGCGATAGGCAGGCCATGTATCAGCAGCCCGTGCGCAAGATTAAAACACTGCGAGGTAAGCTAAGCCAAGCCAATAGCACAAACAATAATTCGCAACTCTATGAGAAGATCAAAATACACAATTCACAGTTGGCAACTCAAACCCAACCACAATGGCGGCTTTTACTGTCTGTCTTTATCACATGTACATGTACATTTATTAACTATGTGAAGCGCCCCCGCACTGCTCTGCGCTGCTACACGTACGCTTTGCCTTAACTTATCGAACGTCAATCGATTTTTTTTTCGCCGGCTTTTGTGTCAGTTGTTTTACATGGGCAAAGTTTTTTTTTTCTTTCTGCATAGTCACGATCATGCGGTCAGCTTAAGGGCATTTGGTAACAACTTTCTAACTTGTATACTTGTGCCTTTTTTTATCTCTACTTATTTCACAAGATGCACCACTGATTGCTGGCTGCGAGAATGTTGGAGAATATCTTTATTGGTATTTCACAATCGCAATCCGCAGTGCATAGCACAAGTATAAAGAGGAAGGGAGATAGACAAGAGATTACGTCATCCAGCATACTGATAATCATCATTCACACGAATAACACTCTGTCATCGTGAAAGTGATCATATGCATTTATCGAAATGCAATCGAGTTTGCAACGTCTGCTGTTGACCGTTGTCAGAGGGGAAGGTGGAACGGGTCAAAGAGAACTTGTTACTTTATCTGTATTTGTGGACCCTTTCGTCCCCACAACCGCAACTAACACTGCTCGGTTAAATTTTTATGCTAATTTGAAGCTCCATAAATGCAGCTTAATGTATGCAATCTTATATACTATATATACATAGGTATATATCAATATATACGCTGCATAAATGCTAATTTCTTAGTTGGTTTTATGGCTCGATAAGTCCATTTATTCAATTCTTTGTCATACGCTTATCAGAAACAACATTCAATTCCAATTGGCCTTTTGCTTAAGCAAACGGAAGTGATAAAGAAACAAACAAAAAAACCAAAGAGATGCCAGACTTGTGTGCATGCATTATACATTATTATTTGTTCAATGGGCTGGCAACGCCTCTTTATCAAGCACCGCTCCTCGTTAGTTCTGGCAATGCCCAGCTGCCCAGTCCGCCTCCCTTTCGAGTAAATCCCAAAGCGAGTAATAAATATATGGTAGTCGCCAGTCGCCTGGTAACCATGGCAAACAATGTATTTTTGGGAGTCCAAAGCAAACCGCATACAAACCAAAGGCGGAGTCTCCGGTTGATTGCTTCACATTGATTTGCACCGGGACACGTGTACAATTGATAATTGCAGGATAACAACACCAGTTGTGGAACAGGGACAACAAATAGCGGCGAGAATTCAGTCGTTGTTGTGTGGCACATTGTGCTCGACAACATATGCATCTATTTGAGTTTGTGCCCGCATCGCAGGCGGACGAAATGTCGTCCGAGGGACGCAGCATTTATCGATCCGCCTATATAGATATAAGATTACGAGAGAAGAAGACGAAGCTGCCACAGGGTAGTCATAAACTGACCGCCTCATCCACCTATATATACATATTTATATAAACATATAATTAATATATATTTACAAATTTCAACTTGTGCGTGTTTCCATTGCAGGCAGCTACGATTACGATCTGGTTGTGATTGGCGGCGGTTCTGGTGGCTTGGCCTGCGCCAAGGAGGCTGTGGCAAATGGGGCACGCGTCGCCTGCCTGGATTATGTGAAGCCAACGCCAATTGGCACCAAATGGGGCGTGGGCGGCACCTGTGTCAATGTCGGCTGCATACCCAAAAAGTTGATGCATCAGGCCTCGCTCCTCGGCGAAGCTGTCCATGAGGCAGCCGCCTATGGCTGGAATGTCGATGATAAGATCAAGCCCGACTGGAAGAAGCTCGTCTCCTCGGTGCAGAATCACATCAAGTCTGTCAACTGGGTGACACGCGTCGATCTGCGCGACAAGTATGTAGTCTATGATCCATATACATATCTATATAGTATACAGTTGCGTCAAAAAAGAATTGCACCAAAAACACAAAACATTAGTTTTGCAGTTTTTTCAAATTTTGATTTTAAATATATTATTTAGAGAAAAGTGCTAAATAGTAGCTAAAGAAATAATAGCAGCACCTGATAAATGTTGCTATTTAATTATGGTTTATTCAATTTTAGTTTTTTCTTTCTCACTTTTTTTTAAGAGGAGTCTTCTTTCACATCTCAGAACGTATTCATAAGTTTTTTAAACTTATAAATAAATAAGAAAAAACATTCGTTGTGAGTGTGGTGCCATTATTTGTTTCGCAACTGTATGTATATAGACATATAATAGATATTACTTATTATATTTATATCCTACTCACACACAGAAAAGTCGAGTACATCAATGGCCTGGGCTCGTTTGTCGATCCACATACGCTGTCCGCTAAGCTGAAGAATGGCGATCGCACAATTACCGCCCAGACTTTCGTTATTGCCGTTGGTGGCCGTCCCCGCTATCCGAATATTCCCGGCGCCGTTGAGTATGGCATCACTAGCGATGATCTATTCAGTTTGGACCGCGAGCCCGGCAAGACTCTTGTCGTCGGCGCAGGCTGTAAGTCTCTCTCTTATTCCTCCTCCACCTCTTGCCTCACACATATTTCAAATGTGCTCTAATGTAATCCTTTTTAGATATTGGCTTGGAGTGCGCTGGCTTCTTGAAGGGACTGGGCTATGAGCCGACAGTTATGGTGCGTTCGATTGTGTTGCGCGGCTTTGATCAGCAAATGGCCAATTTGGTGGCCGCCTCCATGGAGGAGCGCGGCATACCGTTCTTGCGTAGAACGGTGCCACTGTCCGTTGAGAAGCAGCCGGATGGCCGCCTCCTGGTCAAGTACGAGTGCACGGAGACCGGTGAGATCGGTAGCGATGTCTTTGATACTGTACTCTGGGCCGTTGGCCGAAAGGGTCTCGTCGATGATCTAAATCTGCCCAATGCTGGTGTGCTGGCCCACAACGACAAGATTCAGGTCGACTGCGATGAGGCAACCAATGTGCCCCACATTTATGCTGTCGGCGATATTATCCATGGCAAGCCGGAACTGACCCCAGTGGCCGTACTTGCCGGACGTCTGTTGGCACGTCGCCTCTATGCCGACTCTGATCTGCGCATGGATTATGCGGATGTGGCGACCACAGTGTTCACACCGCTCGAATACGCCTGCGTCGGTCTCAGCGAGGAGGATGCGGTCAAGGCGCACGGCGCCGATGAGATCGAGGTATTCCATGGCTATTACAAACCGACCGAGTTCTTTATACCCCAGAAGAGTGTACGCTATTGCTATGTGAAGGCTGTCGCCCAGCGCCACGGCGATCAGCGCGTCTATGGCCTCCATTATCTGGGACCAGTTGCCGGTGAAGTTATCCAAGGATTTGCAGCCGCCCTCAAATCCGGCCTAACCATACCAACGCTGATGAACACCGTCGGCATTCATCCGACAACTGCCGAGGAGTTTACACGTCTCAGCATTACCAAGCGCTCTGGCCTGGATCCAACGCCTGCCAGCTGCTGCAGCTAAACGGGATCATACTTGCCTTATCCCCATAAACACAGACACGCATTAATATCCACACACACACACACCCACACCATATGTATATCTGGTTAGCTGGCTGGGGACACCAAACGGATTCGGAGTTGCTGCCGCTTTAGAGCGCTCAATGTTCAAGGCTTAATTTAGTTTCGATGGTAACACATGTATACACACCCCCACACACACACACATACAGACATATAAACAATAGAGCAGCTAACGTTTAGAGAAACGCGCTGGACATTTGAACTTTAGTCGAACTGAAGCGTCCAAGTGGGATTATCATCCATCAATGCTTTAAGCGTGCTGCCTTCACTCAAAATTACGAAATTACGTTATGTATGAACATTAAATATTATAATAAAAAATAATAATCTGTATTTTTACGGTATGAAATAGAATTTTTTTCACCCACATACAAAAAAAAAATTGTGTTATTTACGGACTTAAACCTGAAGCAAACAACGCCTGTTCCAATGGGGTATATTAATATAATTGGGTTACGTGCACTGCGACATACTAGATCTATTGTGCCCTTTTCTGAGTATAGCTCCTCCATCAACCCCAGCTCCTGCACAAATTTTAGAATCTTTGTTGGGCTGATGTCTACTATGTCCTTGAAACTCGTAACATGCATCCCCAGGGTGCTGCATCTTTTCCTGATTAAGGCAACACACTCTATTGAGGATACGTCCTCGGTTGCATAAATCCTACAAATACCTAGTATAGTTGGGTGACTTCTTAGTCTACAGTGTCCTGTCAATAGACTGGTAAGTATTCTATGCCTGGTCTTCCCCATGGTTATCGGAGTCCAGGTGTCTCTGCCCAGCTCCATTGTCGCCTCTGTCTCTCTTCGTTTCTAAGTTGCCACAAAATGGTTCTGGCCCTATTCAAGGCCTCTCTGCCCCTTTTCTCGCTTGCTGCGTTCCCAGCTATATCCCTATGGCCCGGGAAATGGGATATATACTATATATATGTAATATAATACAAATATACTTGATTTTATCGATAACTTTATCCGTTTTCCTAATATGTCCAGATCTATTAGCAACTAGCAGTAAAATCCACAATTTGTTCCAAATTTCATGCTCGAGGTCGGTTGAGGAATATACGATTCATTCAGCCAGCAAGAAGTAAATGCCCAACTAGGAGATAACCTGTAACCAGCTCTAGCTCACTCATTGGTGTCATTTCTTAATCATGCCAAATTTACTTAAATAATTTTTACAGAGTTTATTTTGATTTTTTCAATGAGATTCAAAATTCCGTCTTTAGCTTTTCTCAACCTTCTCTTAATCGCTGCACTACTAATTATTCCTTGCATGAACCGTTTCGAGTGGTTGGCTTTAACTAATTCTAGCCAACTATTTTTTGGTCTGTTTGGGTTTTTTCTGGGCTTTTCCCAATACCTGCAATACATGGGCCATTTTTCCTTTAAATACCCCCAAAAATATGTATTCTTTAATTGAATCTGTTTATTACTTTTCGACTGATATTAGCTGACATTAAATATATAAATAGAATACAACAATAAGATACTCACCAGCAACAACAACAACGGCATAATTTTAATCCTGTCTTTAGTTGTTGTCTCGTCTGCAATCGAGGCAACATTAGCCAATCCTTGTTGATTCACTTAACACTTCAAGCACCTACAAATTATTATTTCACTTGAACCTTTAACACTTATAAACAAAAACCGAATTCATAGCATATTTTATTATATTCGTTAAGATATCGGCCATAATGGAACAATAACAAAATGAAAGGGAACGCATGCTCTCTTTCTTTCGCACAAAGAACGCCTTAAAAACAATTACATAATTTAACATTACGCAAATCTTAAGCATTTTAATAATTTAGGCATGATTTAATTGTTCAACTCTTTTAGACACCCACGCCAAAATATTAGTTCCTAGGCAAAGTACTCTCGCCTTCTCCCTCTCTCTCTCTCTCTCTCTATAGCTGTCCTGCTCTATTTAGTTTCCTTCGGCGAATTCGATCAGAAAGAATTAACTCATTTTATTCATACAGCACCTTCATTTTCAATATATGACATATATCATTTAGTAATCCATAATGGTGTATCATTAAAAAAATCGCCACAACAGATCCTTATGATTTAAGATTTATATTTTACTAGTTGGCAACCAATTAGAGTGCATTGGATGAGCGCGCACGAGCAAGGTGACTATATAGATATATATAGGTATATATATATACAAATAGATATAATATATATGTATATTTTATTTAGCCCATGACTCGTGATATAGACACATATTTATATATATATATTTATACATTAGCATATCGAGTATTTTTCTATTTCGCGTTTATTTTGGGTTTAAGTTGTTGTTTTTTTTTCCTATTTGCGTATTTTGTATAAATTTGTTTTTAACAATTTCAATGACAAATTAACAATGTGCTCAGCGCCCCCCTGCAAAACATGTTTCCATTTTTTCCTTCTTTTTTTTAGCATCTTTTGCACTCCGATCTGTTTTCGCTTGCTGCTGCTCGCCAGGACAATAAGGACAATGAGAGCAAGTGTTTCAGATACGAGAGAAAAAAAATCAAAAAAAAAAAAACAAACAACATTAATTATTTTATATATTATGTTAATTCATCAGATCAGATCAGAGCTCGCTTAGATGGCCGCCGCCGACTGCTTGGTGGCCTCATCCAGACGTTGCTGCTTATTGACCGCCGATATGCACTTGGCCATTGTTGGCGATGCACGCGAAATGGCATCGGTCATGAAATAGTCGCGCAGCTCCTTCTGCTTCACATCGATGGGTGTGCTGCTGATGGATTTAGTCTGAAAAAGGAGCACACACATTGCAAAGGATTTGGCATTCTTCAAGCAGCTGAGCAATAATCAACTTACAGGTGTTGCCTGGGCAGCGACTCCAGTGTCCGTCTGCTGCAGTTGCCCGAAGCGTGTCAGATGCGGGGCAATATCCGTGAGACGTGAGCGCAGCTCGTCGAGCGTGTCATAGGGCAGCGGTTTGCCTACCACCTCCGACAGAGCGCGTATGATCTTCCAATCTTCACGGGCCATGCCCGGCGGCGAGACGCCCGGATGTGTTTGCTGTGACCGTCCCTCCGTATTCACATAGATCGCCTGCTTCTCGGTATAGGCAGCGCCCGGCAGAACAGCGTCCGCAATTGAGGCGCCATTATCACCATGCGATCCAATATAGACAACAAAACAATCCTTGGGCAACTGATCGCGCGTCAATTTGCCAGCATCGGCATTGAGCAGGAAGAGCACCTTGGGCTGTGCCTGCAGTGCACCCTGCACACCCGGCTGATATCCCACATCGAAGGCGCCCACCTGCGAGGCGCTGTTATGCAGCACATTGAACGCATTCCAATTCTAAAACAAAATCAAGTAGAAACATTAGATTAGAGAGCCAAGTGTGGAGAGCTGATCTGAAATTGGACTCACTGGCTTCTTGAGCTTCTGACAGTATTCGGCGATGGTGGCATGAATCGCGGCACCATCGGCACGCTCCAGCAGATCAATGCCAATGATAATAGCTGGCTTCTTGGCGCCCTCGAGCACCTTGGAGAAGGCATGTCGACCGCTGCACACATCCTTAATAATGTTGGGATCAGCGCCCAGATTCTGATGCTCATACGACAAATCAATATTGGGTCCAATCGATGCAATCTGGAGCTCATTGTGAACGTATGCCTTGCGCAGACGCGTATTCACCAGCGGCGCCTCGTAACGCGGATTGGTGCCCACAAGGAGCACGGCATCAGCCTCCTCCAGACCTGCAAGCGATATCAATATCATTGGATAATCTAAGAAGGATGTCTCCACAAGAATTACCCACCTGCGATGGTGCTGTTGAGTAGATAGCTCGAGCGTACATCGATGCCGCTGCCCTTGATAAAGTCCTGTTCGGTGACGAGATGTTCGGCGCCCAGTCGATTGACCAGATCCTTGAGTGCCACCATTGCCTCCACATCGGCCAATTGGCCGGCAACGCCAGCAATCTGACCATTTGCCTTCTGCAGCGCCTTGGCCACAGCGATCAGTGCACCCTCCCATTCCACAGCCTGCAGCTCACCGTTGGGCATGCGCACCATGGGCGCAACAAGACGCTGACGCTTCAAGCCGTCACAGGCGAATCGCGACTTGTCCGCCAGCCACTCCTCGTTGACGTCCTCATTCTCGCGTGGCAATATGCGCAGCACCTCGTTGGTCCGTGTGCTGACCACAATGTTGCTGCCAACGGCATCGAGCACATCGATACTGTCCACCTTGCGTATCTCCCAGGGACGCGCCACAAAGCTATACGGCTTGTTTGTCAACGCACCCACCGGACACAGATCGATCACGTTGCCCGACAGCTCGGTGAGGAATAGCTTCTCCACATACGTGCCAATTTGCATATCATTGCCGCGTCCAGTTGTTCCCAAATCATCGACGCCAGCAATTTCCGATGCGAAGCGCACACAACGTGTGCAGTGGATGCACCGCGTCATCACAGTCTTCACCAGCGGCCCAATGTCCTTGTCCTCGACGGCACTGCAATGCGATTACAATTGTTTGAATTAACGAAAGTAAACGACTAGTGCCCTCTAGCCACTGCTTGCAAATCTTCCGAATGTGCCCTAAATCGATATTTATCGATTTTTCAAAGCTGTGGCTGTTATTAAAAAATCGAAAAAATTAAACTGATTTCTTCTCGAAAGCAAGCTGAAAGTATCTCAACTTTCATAAATCGATGGCGGGGAAAAGGAAGGGAAACCCAAACCAGAAGCTAAAAAAAAACTTTCATGCGTTCTTGTCTTCTGGGATTTGTTTGTCCGGCTTACCGCTTGCCCGTGTAATTGATGTCCGTGAAACGTGAACGATCGGAGCCAAAGGCCATGGCTTGATCCTGCAGATCGCACTCGCCGCCCTGATCACAAATGGGACAATCGAGCGGATGGTTCATCAGCAGAAATTCCATAACGCCCTCGCGTGCCTTACGCGTCAGATCCGAGTTGGTTTTGATGCGCCAACCCTTCATCACGGGCATGGCACAGGCGGCAACTGGCTTGGGACTCTTCTCCACCTCCACGAGACACATGCGACAATTGCCGGCGACGGCCAAACGTTCGTGGTAACAGAAACGTGGAATCTCTACACCAATCTCGGCGGCAGCCTGCACAAAATAGAATCCTTGAGTGAGTGTTTGGAACATGCTGGGCATGCTGACTGACCTGCAGAACTGTGGTGCCTGGCAGCACCATGACGGGAATATCATCGACAAAGACTTCGATTTTCTCGGGCGCCTTGGCCGGCGTTTGGGCCAGAATGGCGCTGGTGCGCACGGCTCGGCTGGCGATCTGGTGTGTGGGTGAGCCGAGGGCGCCCAGCGCCTTCACAAGCGGAGCACGTATCATATTTTCTGCAACACAACAGAAATTGACAAACAACTAAACATCAACATTCAGCTCGCAATTACATAAGTTGCAAAGCAGCAAACCAGCCACATATCGATTTGTGCCTGGATGAAGGCTGCTTGCTTCGTTGTCAGCTCATCGGGGGAACGCTTACCAATTCCAATTTAATTTACTAGGAATCGCTCAACACAAGCAAGACTTACCGATATGCTGGAAAATATTTAGCAGCGCCACAAAAATTTTTTAATACCGAGCAGACAACTTTTTTATGTGGTTTTTGACAGTCGCAGGGTAATCGCAGGGTTGCCAACCTTTTCTTTGACAGCTGACCAACTACGCGCTGCATTCAAACTCCAAGTGCAAAATAAATAAAATTAAAATAAATTCATGCTTTGGACTGTGAAAATTTGTGTGCTTCGATTAATAATAAGAAATTTGCAAATTTCATCTGAAAACTATCATTATTGATATGATTGCTACATACTTGATTTGACTTTTATTACTCTATTGTAAAAAATGTTGAGCAACTGCAATTATTGAACTCAACTTGTACTTAACTTAAATTTGAAAGTTAACCCAAATATGTTGGAATTATTTCAAATGGAATACATAGAATTAAACAATAAATATTAATTGTAATATTCATCATCGATGGTAACCCTGGTGTGAATGGGCAGCGCACAGCTGTTTATGGTTTGTTTACTTATTTTACTGTGTTTGCCATTCACATGTCTCCGTTAGCGCGTGCTAAACTTGTTTAATTTTCAATTTGAAATTTAAATTTGTAATTCTAATATTAAGTAATAAGTCAGCAGAAGAAAAGCAGAATAAACAGAAAAAAAGCTATAAGCGATGGCTACCACACACACAATGCGGCGCACAATTCATTCAGCAGCGAAATGTGAGCGGCATTTACCGATGTTGGCGCCACACACACACAGAGAACACAGGCGAACGCATGTGGCGTCACATTGATGCGGCTGCGGCGGCGGCGCCACGAGCGAGATTTGTTTGATTAGAGATCTGACATGAGAGTCACGCGAAAAACCACGATACAAATGCACAAAAGCAAGGATGATGCTGCTTGTGGAGTGTATACATTGTGTTTGAGTTTGAATGTGTGTGTGTAAGAGTGTGTGTGTGTTTTGTATCAACGCACGATTTGTGGCTAGTTTAGAGTTGAGCGCGTGTTTCGTTTGTTTTCGTGACACGATCAGTTCCCAACGAACACGTCAAACTCAGCACAAACAAAAAAACCAAATATAAAATCAAACCAACGCACGGCTACCACCCAATATTGATAGTAACTCAAAATGATTTGTACTTGTAGCTTTAGTAATTCATATTAAATAAACATCAAAGTATGGAGGGAAAAAGGTAGTTAAGTTCGTCACGTTCGCATCTCTGTGCGAGTCGGTTGTCTACTTACTACCTGGTGCTCGCCAGGTATAATCAGATAAAAATATATTATTACGTACCAGTCCGACTTTTCATTGTTAATTGAGCGGCGTTGGCTGCACATCACCGGCAAAAAAAAAAAGAAAACAAAAAATCAACAGGAAAGATCTGATAAGTGTTAGCCATGCCGAAGATTAAATACCCTAGTTGCTGACATCTAAATTAGTTAATATCGTGATAATGCTGATATATGCAGGCAGCATTGCAATGCTCGTTGCAATGATGAAGATAGTTTGTATATTTGTATACCTTTAACGTATTTACACAGTTAACAATACAATTCGTATGCCCAAAGGCAAAAAAGGTGCGAGAAACCTTTCTGGCCCTGAATGATTTGAGATTGAGACGTGCTTGATATCTCTTGGCATCGCTATCGTCGTCGACTTCGACTTCGGCTTCGGCGTCGGCATCAGCGTTGGCGTTGGCGGGCAGCGATGCTGCGCGATGCGCGTCTTTCGTTGGCGTCTGCTGGCTGTCGGCTGTCGTCTGTCGGCTGTCGTCTGTCGCGCCTCTCCGTGCATTGCTCTTATCTGGCTTGCATCTCAGTTTTTCGTTATTTTGTTGCTGTTGTTCCTCCTCAACATTATCGCATTTGTATCTGCTGTTCTTGTTCTTGTTGTTGCTGCTGCTGCCGTTGCTGCCGCTGCTGCTGCTCCAGCTGCAGACGTGTCGCCACAATTTGCCGTCAAACACCGGTGCCGCCGCTTGGCGCCTAAAAATCAAACGGGGCGCCATGCAACAAATTTTTAAAAATAACGTGCCACAAACCTGACTGCGACGTCAAAAACAAGACACAGTGGCGAAATTTTCGAAATTGCAGCGAAAATCGAAAAGAACTCCAATGAACAAATCTAATATTTAATGTTAATTTAATGATTGCACTACACCTAAAAAACGAAATACCAAAAAACAGTAAATTTAATCTGATTATGCATGGAAATTAAACCAATTTTTTTTTTTTTTAGCTGATGATAATAATTGATAATATAAAATAATAGTAATAAAGCTAAATGATTTTAATTTGTGGCGGTTCTCACTTGCGAGTGACCACTGTATTGGGGATTTGTTCGCCCCGCAGCTATTTTTGCGCGCCTCGGCGCATTGTTAATGATCTTCTCTCCCCTGTTCTCCACTCTTCTGCTCTGGTCTGTTCTGTGCTCTTCCCGGGAGCGATTCTGTCTCGACGTCTGCCGCATTTTTTTGTTTTTGCTTCTTTTACAATGTGATAATTTTAAACAATTTACTCCCCTTTTTGGCCCGCCAGCGCTTGGTGCGCTCGCTTAACGGTGTCGTCCTTGACTGCGCCGACTTGTAGTTTTTTTTTATATTTTTTTTTCTTTTTTTGTAGCAGTTTCTGGAACTGGAGCGAGATGAGGCAGTAATTTCTTTGCAAGTCATAAAGAAAGACAAAACAAATGACTTAAGATATGCATGATATTATTATAATTATATATGGCAAACAGTTTGCCTCGCTGATAGCGCCACGCATAGCAACAACAACAATCGCAGCAGCAGCAACAACTCCAGACAGATGACAATGCTGATAATGGGCCACAGAGCGACAGGGTCACTGCCAGGCAGCATCATCATCAGCAGCAGCCGCAGCAGCATCGCCGCAGCCGCAGCAGCAGCAGTCGCATTTCCTTTGGTGGGGTATTCGCTGGGGGTCACATGCAGCACTGGCGCGGCAATAAGACGCCGACGCTAACGTCGACGTCGACGCCGCTGACTCCATTCAGCGGAAGAGAGTGAGAGAGAGGGAGAGAGCGCACGCAAGCAAGCATCGTAATCTCTGCCGTGAGCAAAAATTCATTACGAGAGCAGTGCTGCCGCTTCGAAGATCGTTCGGGCTCGTTCGTTCGACCGGCATTGGCTCGGCTTGGCTCGGCTCGATTCGACTCGGCTGCTGTTTGGGCTCCGGCTGTGGGCTCCCCAATCTTTCCTTTGAATAAAACCAGTGCCCGCTTGCAATTTTCACTTAGTTTGAGTCCGAACGGCGACTACGCCGGCTCTGTCCGTGTGTGCGTGAGTGTGTGTGTGTGCGTTCGTTCGTTCGATCGATCGTTCGTGCGTTCGTAAGTCTATCTCTATGCAAAAGCTCGAAGCGCATTCAAATTGCCATCGATAAACAATCGAAAAAAAAGCGCGCGCCAAACATATTTCACTTGTATTTATTTATTTCTTTTATTTTTTTTTTTCGAAAATTAATTTCACATGGTGCCATTTTTTTTCACACGTTTAATTTTTATTTTTGTTGTTGTTTCTTTATCAGAGCAGCGCCTTAAACGCATGCGCAACAGTGACAAAAAAGAAACAAATGATTAAAGAACGGAAACAGAAACTTATTCAATATTGAGAATCGCTTAGTCATCGCCGGCGCATGCATATTTATCCGTTTGTTGCTTTACTTTATTTTGTGTGTCCGTGTTTTATTTTTACTTTTTTTTTTTAATTTGAATTTTTGCTGTTTTGTGTGCTACGAATCGGACGCCCCCCCAGTATTTACCTGACATCATCTGCGCATCATCATCTTCATCTGCATCATCATAATTATAATCAGCAACATTGTAATCGGTATTTGCGGTTGACATCTTTGCGGGCTTCATTCAGAGCAAAATCGACCAAAACAAACACAAAAAAAAAAAACAAACAAGAAAAAAAAGAGAACAAAAAATAAACAAAACCAACAAACACAGAACGTTACGGGTAAGTACGCTAAGTGATTTTTATTATCATTATTATGGTTATTATTATTAGTATAGTATTTTTATCATTATTTTTATTATTTGGGTTTTTTTCTACATAAAAAAATCAAACTTGGAAAATACTTTATTTAATTTTATTTAACATTAAACAAAAAACACAAACTTCCGTTTCGATGGAAAAGTAAGAAAATTTCCAATTTTGTAAGGATGACTTTCTGTAATTTGTGGCATACAAAACAGCAAACAAAAATACAAAAATGTAGTTTTAAAAAGTTGAAAATAAAACTAGTGCATAGATTTTCTAGTTTAAACGATTTATGGCTGTAAAGATTACAATGCTATAAAATAATAGTTTTAAAAGTTAAGTACCAAATAAGCATTATTAAGGAGAATACTGCTAGATCCTTAAAAAACTAAAAATGACTAGTCTGAGAATAATTCAGTTAAGAATCATTGCTTGATAGTTAATCACAGTCGAAGTACAGCAACTATCCCTTTTTTGGGCTGAATGAAAGAGGGCAAAATGAAAAAAAAAAATTGTTTTTCAGTTGTTTCTCTTTGTGGTTTATTGTTGTTGGTTTCGGGCAAAACGGTAGCCATATATTAAGCTAATTTCCTGTGTGATCTCAGCCAGCACACACACACACACAAACACACACACACAGACAGATAAATATGTGTCTAAAAGAGAGCTGACAAAAACAAAAACAAAAAAAGTGCCACAAACAACTCCCAAAAATGGTCAAAATAAACGCGGCGCATGTTTTGGCCAGCAGCAGCAACAACAACATTTGAGGCAGCACAAATAAAAACAAATTAAATGATTTGTTATAACGTATTTTGTGGCTTGCAGTGCGTCAAAGCGTCTATCCGCCTGTCGCCCCCGACTCACCGTCACTGTCTCCTTGTCTCTTTCTCTCAATCTCTCTCTCTCTCTCTCTCTCTCTCTCTCTGTCTCTCTGTCTCTGTGTCTATCTCTTTTTCTGACGATCCGTGGCCATCCCGAGCAACGCCTGTGCAAAATTTATGGCCTGCATTTGTTGTACAACAACCATAACGAGCCAAAAGAGAGATACACACTGGCATAAGTAAGGAGTGCTCGAGTTGAGCGTGTGACCGACTTCAAGATACCCTGTACACGAAAACGGTCTACTGTTTGGCACACCGAACAAGCAAAAGCACGAAAAGCGCTCAGCACAGCTCTGTCCGCTGATCCAAGACATAATATCCAATAATCCATTGCAAATAGGGTATACAAAAAAAAAAAAAATAATAATAAAAATAAAAAATTGTAAACTGAAGAGAAGAAAAAAAAAAGATTCAAAACGACGTCGCCATAAAAAATACATTTTCGGCCCACATGCGATGGATTCAACGCGGAGTCGCTCGCCACTACAGATATTAAAATATATGCCTCGTGACGGCAACAGCAACAACAACAACAACATTAGCTCCACATATGCGAGTATCGTTTGGAGTTACGTGCGATCTGGACAGTGTAGACTTACCTTCCCCTCCCCCTACGTTCCTCGGCCCCACGGTCGTTTCGCGTTTTACGTTAAAAGTTTCAATTCATTCATAAAAATAAAAACTATGTGTGTGTGTGTGTGTCTCGAGTTGGGTGTGCGTGAGTGTGTGTGTGTGTGTAGTTGTCTGCTTCAATGAAACTACAACGCATGAATGAAAATAAATATGTGAATGAAGCTACAGCCAGATATAGGCGTCTCTCTCTCTCTCTCTCTCACTCTCTCTCTCTCTCTCTTTCTCTGTCTGTTGCCTGTTACTAGGTAGGCGTACAAATTGCTTTGGTCTCGTCTCCGCCTCGCACCCAAGTGAAATCTTTCTATGAACTGGCTTTTACCCCCCCTGCCTCCTGTCCCCTACACCACGCCCCCCCCCGCCTTACCAGCATCCTAAAATTTGCCATTTTGAAAACGATTTGGCCATATGGCTTAGATGCTTGCTTAGCAGATGGTTTGCAACAAAAACGCAGAGTAAAACGATTTGATGCAGCCAAGAATTTACATAACTAGAAAAGAGTTTTCAAAGATTCATGGCAACAAATTTCATATGTCAAATGATTTTAGTCACTCGAGAGCAAAAAACATACTTTAATTATCAAAAAAAAGATAGTTCACCATTAACAATAAGTATAAATGATCGTAGAGACAATAGTAAACTGTTCATATGGTTATCAAAGGTGTCTTTTCAAAGAAACAAACTCATTTTTAAAAAATCAATTACTTATTATTATCTTGAATGTGAAATCCTCTAAGATATTTTTATTGAATGAAATTGGCTCGATTTGTAGAGTCTTTGAAATATTTTATAACTTAAAAAAAAAAAGAAGAAAAAATCTGGAAAATACAAATGATGAATAGATAATGAAAGATGATGATAGATGAAAGATGTGATCGTATGGATCTCTAGAGAGTGCCTAATGTTGGATGTACGTACAAACATACATACATATGTATGTCTGTATTTATGTACATATGTATTTCCTGCTTTGCTTTTTTTTTGGGGTTTTTTTCTTCGTTTTGGTCGCATTATTTGCATACAATGACGAGATGAGCAAAATGATGATGGTAATGATGCTGATGATGATGATGATGATGATGATTATCATTATGATGAGATGATTTGATGATGTGATCGAGCAGCCAAACTAAATGTAAAGCGACAACAAAACGTGGCTAATAAATTAAGCAAAGCGTCAACAAAGCTGTTGACAAATGTCACTTTTGGAACGCCAACGCCGGCTATTGACAAAAACAAAATATATAAATATAAATAATAATAAATTTAATAAGTTTACTAAATTAGAAACACGTGTGTGTGTATATATGTGTGTGCCAGCTACTATAATGTAGGTGAGTCCCAATCGGACTAGAGTGAAATTGCCATTGGAGGAAAACGGCCTAAATGTGAGGAGAAACGATGTGAGATCATTCAGAGCGTGGGCCATCATCAAATGATTCACTTTAGAAATGTGCCGTGCGATTACAAATAAACCAGAGCAGTTAAAGACAAATCTCCCCATAATACATACAATATTCCAATATCCTTGTGACAGCTTCGCGAATGCGAAAAATGCAGTCGAAGGTATTCCGCAACTTCATCGTATTTCTATCACATTTAGAGGATTAGAAATGGCTTCGACTGGGGAGCGTAAGACACTCAGAAAACATTTGCGTTTTTCTCTCTTATTGAAGTAGTCGAATATATAATATATATAAATTTTGCTTAAATACTTTCCCATATTCTGCTCAAGTGTTGCCACACACCAACTTCTGGACCTATAAGGAAGTAACATGTGTTTGTGTGGCACGAACATCTGACAAGTTGTAAAGCTGAAAAGCTGAAAAGCTTCAATTGCCCAGCACTCGACTGCAGTTCATCAATCAGCGAAGCCAGACAACATCATTGATCAATGCTGAGCTGAGCTGAGCTGAGCTGAGCTGAGCTGGGCGGATGCAGTGGATTGCTAAATGCTGAATGGAGCATGGTATAGGTATAGGAATAGTTGTAGGTATAGCTATAGCTAGATATAGATATTGGCATATATACATATATTAAGTTAACGGTATATTTATAAGCATAGCTATAGTTGTATACAGAGTTATAGGTAAAGGTTTGGTATAGGTTTGCCTATAAGTATAAGTTGAGTATATATAGCTATATGTATGATATGCTATATAAATATAAGTGTATGTATAGTTAAAGGTATAAGGTATAAGAATAATAATAAGAATATTATTTATGAATATTATAAGTGATAGATATGAGTAAGAGTATAGGTATAGATAGGGGTATATATAGCTATAAGTAAGTTTATAGGGATTGCTATAGATTTAGTTAATAGTATGGGCATATAAAGCTATAACTATATTATAGGTATTGCAATAGGTTTGCCGCTGTCCAAATGAGAATTCTATCAATTGGCTGACATTTAATGGAGGGAACCGTCAAGTGTGATTGATTGATAATTAAAAGTGGCGCCCGCCAGCCGACGCACTGCAGCATAATGATCGGCGGCATTGCGTCGACTGGCGGCAGTCGACAGTCGACAGTCAACAGTCGACAGTCAACAGTCGACAGTCGACTTGGAGAGTGTCGGGGAGAGCGTGTCTGCCACTCTTGGGACAGAGTCTTAAGCATTTAACATATGATAATGTGGGGCCTTCTAATTTTGCGAGTTGCGCTTTCAAGTTTTGCCGCGATTGCGATAAAAACTGCCTCTTAAATCAGGATCAAACTGGAACTGGAGAACGGGAGAATGTCTGAATACTGAGAACAGAGATAAACTAGAACTGGTGACTGAACCAGCATTTTATTGTCACATTGGGTTTTTGCATTTGATTTGAATCTCATTTGAAACGGCGCCTGCTTCACAAAATCTATGTATTTTCATTAAATTCTTAGCCTGTGTTTTTTGCATTTCTCATCCAGCTTGTTGTCTTTCATTGACAACATGAAACTATATTTTACCAACTAACTAAGAAAACATTAATTTTATTCGCTCCCAAATGATAAACAAGAAGCTCAACAAATAGGCTTCAAATTTCAAAGGTAAATCTAGAAAAAATTATTTATTTTTTTTTTTTTTTAATTATTTATTAGCAATGTCGTAATATTTTTTGTTAATCCATAGATAGCAGGGATTATGTGTATACAATTTTCAATCCTTGGAAAATTCACAACACAAAGTATGTTTTAATGAAAAGTTACTCTTAAGAAACCGGCTCAAATTGAGATTGTATTAAAATTGCAATAAAATATTTATTATCTTCACTAGCTAATAGCTGTGAACTCTATGCTCCCAATTTGGATTCTTATAAGGAGGCCAGAGCATACCAAATTCGTTGTAGATTTTCCAACTCGTTTGGCTTTCGTATGTGAATTTTGGCACAGACAGAAATTTGTGTTTTGGGCACGTTTAGCGCTTGGCAAAAAAAAAAGTTGAAAGAAAAGATTTTTAATTTGTGTTTCCAGCTAATGAGCTTTATTTAATTTTATTGATGGAATTGCCAACATTTATCATAAATTACAAATCGCGATCGTGATAAGAGCGCCAGCAACAACACCAACTGGTTGTCGATAGTCTAGTCAAGTTCCCAGCTTCAAGCTCCCAGCTCCGATCTGTGATTTCCGATTCGCGATCTTCTCCAGTGGCTGCTGCGACGGCGATGGCTTCGTCATCTGTTCATCTGTTGAATAATTAAGTTGTCGTGTGTTGCTTTGATAATGACACACAATGTTTTTGTTGCTGTTGTTGCTTTTTTGTGTTTTTGTGTGCTTTGTCTTTGAAGCGCCGCACTCAAATTATTTGCTTAATTTTATTGCCCGTTTTTTGGCTACAAATTTTTCTCTTAGCCATTGTCTCCATGGGCAGTGCCCAAAAAAAAAAAACAAAAACACACACATATATATATCACACAGCATCCCATTCTCCCCGCATCCAGCCCCTTGCCCAGCTTCAGCTTTATTGGCGAGCGTTTGCTAAAAAGCTAAAAGCAAATCAGCTTTTATTTATTATCTGGTATCTAGTAGTATTCCCCTCCACCCTCCCCCTACGCATTTTTTTTGGCTGCTTTTGTATAAATTTATGCCATATTTGTGGTCTGGCTTGTTGATTGTCTTTGCATCAATTATATCCTGTGGCATGTGTGAATGCCTTCGACTTGACAGCCAATCAAAACAAAATGTATCAAAAACAAGATGCTTTCAATTGAAATTCGATCTTAATACATTTTGGCGGCAATTGTCGCCAATGGTTTTTTTTTTTAAATCTAATTTTGAGGGAGCTTAATTGGATATTCCAAGTGCAAAAAGACTTGATTAAATGTAAATTTTTTATTCATATTTAAGTAGAGAGACTATAAGGCAAAGTTGTATAAAATGTATGTAGAATATAAATATATTATTGAATATTAAATTATTAAGTAAACAACTTATAAGCAATGAAGCCTAAAGATAGAAATATTAAATGTATATACAATTTATTCAATCAATGCAATTATAAATAAATTAAGTATATAGCTTATTACCTTAAAGTTCGTAAGCATCCAAGGCGTGACAAACTTTCTTGCGGAACACTTAATACTAAATTAGTTTCGGCTAATCATCCTGTGGAAACCACTTACAATTTTTAATCAAACTAAAATCAAGTTTGATTCAGCCTTCGGATTGAAAAATATCTTAAGCAAATGTGTCACTCATCGCCTGAAATCATGTATTCGTATAAGCCAGGTAATATTTGGGCAAAGCAACAAAATGAAGACCACAATAAATAATATCGTCCAGCAGCAAGCCCAGGGTTAGATAAAACAGCGCATCTCGACTGCGAAGCTAACCATTAATGCTTCATCAAAATGTTGTTAGTTTTAATTTATATTAAATTCTGATTCCTATCAAGTATAATGTAATATATATATGATGGTAATAAAGCCTTTAGTAGTGTGTAGAAAATCGGCTTAAAATGAGAATCGTCCCGAAAACTTTACAAATCTTCTGTTTTTTATAAGTAATTTCTAAATATACGAAATAAACTTTCTTAAAATTAAAAAGGCTTTTTCCTTATCATTTTTCCTTTTTTTTTTTAAATTAAATTCTGAAATTCAGAAAAAATTCCGAGTTGAGCTGTTGTCTTTTTTTGGGGAGCACGTAGAATCGTAAATCGTTTTCAAAGTATTCATTCTGAATGATATGGCGAGTTATCTTTAGCGCGAACCATAAGGCAAAGGTCAACAATGAGTAGGCAATTTTTAATTCGTTTTGAAACTGAAACTTTTGAAATATTATTTTAAACAATCAAAAAAAATATTGTTTTATTTTTTTTTGCAGCTGGGCACGCAGTTGGACCCGGCCTGGATTGGGTTTTGGGGGCGTGCATAGAATGCAATTGCTGCCATGTGCCCGCTAATTGCCAAGCTGCTAAAACGCATGGACAACGGCTAAAAAGAGCCCCAATCAAAAGCTACACAGAGAGGGAGAGATTGAGTGAGAGAGAGAGAGAGAAGAGAGAGTGAGAAGAGAGAGTGAGAACCAGTTCAGTGAGAATTCTTGTACTTAAGAAGCCAGAGTATGAAGCAACTTTATCTGAGCACCTTGCTCTGCCTGTGGTTCCACTCCAGTGGCTCCAGTGGCGATAGTCTCTATGGCCTGCACACGGATGAGCTGGTAGCGGGCGAAGGACAGCTGGTTGTGCCGCGGCGTGTACACATTGATGGCGCCTTCATGACGCACACGCTCCATTACGCCCACCAGCAAGATCATCGACGGCAGCGCCGCAGCGCTGTGGCACAGCCCGAGCTGGAGCCGGAGCTGCATATCGAACTGCCGCTGCGCGACGAGACGCTGCATCTGGAGCTGACGTAAGCTGACTTACATGCCCCAGGTTGTTATTGTTGTTGTCATAGAGAAATTATCCTTATGCAGGCCACAGAGCTATTTCCTGGCGCCGCATCTGATTGTAGAGCGACATCGACGGGATCTGAGAACCCGTGCGCCGCCGGCAGCGCATCAGCTGAATTGCCATTTTCATGGCAAGGTGCGCGGTCAACCCAGCGCCAATGTGGCCATATCAACCTGTTCCGGTCTGGTATGTACAAATGAAGTACTAACTTCACCACAAAAACATTTGAGAATTTTGTTAGCAAGTACTCGTATGACTGGCATTCGCTGCATATTTCCCAGAATTAGATAGATTTAAATTGATGTTTTCTTCACTTTCCATGCCTTAAGCCATTTCAAGTTTGTTGCCTAAGTCATTTGTCTGCGCGCAAGTTTGTTGCCTAAGTCTTTGCTTTTCAAATTCGCTTTGATTGTACTATTTGTTTTTTTTTTCTGTTGCCTCAGGTGGGTCACATTAAGACGGCAAGCAATGAGTATTACATAGAGCCCTCCAAGCAACATGCGGCACATCCAACCAACGGTCATCCGCATGTTGTCTTCCAGCGCTCCTCGGTGAAGCCCAAGCAGAAGGTAAGCTGACAAAAAAAAATCAAAAAGGAAACAAGTCCGACAAAACGAAATCACTCGCTAATTTGCGACCATTTGCATTGGTGGCGGGTAGGCGGGACAGCATTGGCGTCGCCACAAGCACAAGCAGCGCAAGGAGCACCGTAACCATAATTACAGCTACAACCACATCCAGAGCCCAAGTCATGGCCAAAATGCAGTTAGCAATTGTGGGACAAGGGAGCCGCGACGTCGCATGGAGACACGTCTGGAGTGGCAGGCGCGTGGCAAATTTAAAATACAAGGCGGTCGCAAGGTGCGTCGCCATCGTCATCATTACCATAACCATAACCATCATCATCATCACCATCATCATCAACATTCACATTCACATCCTCATCCACATCCTCATTCACATCAACATCGTGGGTATTCGCATACGCATCCGCACACAAAATTCAAATACGATACACAAGTGGAGGCGGAGACGGAAACGGATACGCAGACGGTGGTGCATGGGGAACAGCATCGGAGCAGACGCTCAATTAGCAGCCCACGGCATGTGGAGACGCTTATTGTTGCGGACGCAACGATGTCCGCATTTCACAAGGATGTTGTCAGCTATCTGCTGACCATTATGAATATGGTGTCCGCCCTCTACAAGGATCCCAGCATTGGCAATGCCATCGAGATCGTTGTGGTGCGCATCATTGAGCTGCAGGAAAACGACACGGAGCCGGAGCTGAATCTAACGCAGAATGCCCAAAAGAATTTGGATCGTTTCTGCAGCTGGCAACACAAGCTCAACAAACTAAATGAGAATGATCCGCATCATCATGATGTGGCCATATTGATAACACGTAAAAATATTTGCGGCAACAATTGCATGTGAGTACTGAGAACCTCCCTTTCCAACTTGTTTCCACCTACAACCGGATTTCCCTTGTTGTTCTTGTTGTTCTTGTTGCAGGACGTTGGGCCTGGCCAATGTGGGTGGCATGTGCAAGCCAAAGCAATCGTGCAGCGTCAATGAGGACAACGGCATCATGCTCTCCCACACAATCACACACGAACTGGGCCACAAGTAAGTCAAATCAAATAACTTCCGTATCATAGACCTATTTGCATATACACAAGTTTAACATTCAGATTGCTGTTGAATCAAACATTTCTGATTTTCATCCTGTTTTGGCCAATTTTCCACATTCTTTTAGTTGCACTTAAAAATCTAGCAAACTATTTCAAAATGTTGGAAAATCAGTTGCAATATGTTTATATGATTACTTTAAAAAATAAATTTCATTGGTCAATGAGAGAAAATTCCATTAACAAGATTAATTTTTAAGTAATTAAAACTGGGTTTTCATTTAAAGAAAATTAAAAATCTTCATTGAGAAAGCGTTTTTCAAACCCCAGGAAATGGGCGAAAAATTGTTGTGTAAACATTTTAGTTTATCAACCGTCTTAAAAAGGTTTCTGAAAGATTTTTTTGTTATATATGTATATATATATTTATTGTGAAAATATATCTGTCTGTTTAGGGTACATATATGATCTATATGAAAATTATTTAAAATACTGCATGGCAATTTTGATTGGAAAATGTGGAACTAGATTGCATGAGCGAAAGTTGAATTTTTGTGCGATTATTTCTAAAACTCATTGAACGGAGACGAAAAACACCATCTAGTACATATTACATGTATGCCCCTTAGGCCCACATTTGCATACGGTCAACAGACAATCGCTGCTGTTGGCCAACATTGAAATGCACTTTCAGCCACTCACTCTAAGCCAGTGGCAACGGCAACAGCAACAGCAACAGCAACGGAACGGCAACGGCAACGGAACGACAACGGCAACGGCAACGACCAACGCAATGCAAATGCAAATGCAAATGCATCAATTGATCTCGGCCAGCCCAGAGATTTATGTGCAGCCCAATTCGTTTAATGAATGAACCAAAGCAACAACAACTTTAATAACAACATCAACTATAACAGCAACAAATTGAATGAATGGCTGCTTTAAGTGGACGCGACGGATGCTTTGACACCTGCGTGTGTTTTGACAATGATCGCCTGCGTTGCACGCCCACAGTCTAGTACAGTCGTCCCCTTCCAAACCCCTCCCACCTTCCCGCCGCGCTGCCTTCCTCTGGCGATATTCAAACTCAATTAGTCGCTGAACCACTGACACACACACACATATACACAAACTCACACACACACTTACTCGTAGCTAGAGATGGGCAATTAAATCAGAAACATTTCTGTTGATTGTTGGGACTGTTTATCAAAGTTTTTCGAAAATACGTCTGGATCTTTAATAATTGCTTTCTTCAATTTGGGTTATAATTCAATTGGCATCAGCGAGTGAAACTATAATAATGAAAACGTTATTTTTATCTGCATTATTTGGAAAAGTATCGTAAGCTTCAGTATAGAGAAATGCACACATCAAGTTTCCTTTCGATTTCGTAATCATATTAAGTCAAATACAAATATCAAAAATCAAATATGTGCATATATAATTTATAAAATATATCATACATATTTTAAGCTCAACCATACCAAACCATAGGCGACATTTTCGAGCTGAAAATTCCTGAAATTCCTGAATGTTTTTAATTTGTTTTCACATTAATTTCTATTTCTATATTCTATCTTACAAATAAAATGTAGCGTTTAATGTGCTTGCTATGTTTAGCTATAGCTTATGTCAAATTACTGCCTTTTGGTCCATCCCTAAAGACTGAGAGAGGGCGAAGGAGACAGAGCGAGGCACGTAGCAATTTGGTAGCACAGGCAGTTGTCCGGTTTCGTAGGCTTATCTCGTTTCGTGTTCGTGCCAAGTGGATTTTTGTAAAACGCCTTATAAGCGCAGGCAAGTGCCCGTCAGTCTGGTGTGTTCCGATTGACTCAACCAGCCAGCCAGTCAGCCAGCCAGACAGACAGACAGATAGACAGAAAACAACAGTCACTCAGGCATCGAGCTCAATCTTCATTATACCCTGTATTTAGTTAAACGGTTGCAGTACTGTACCTTTGCATACGCTTATATTCTCGTTCAATAATCATATAAAGTTCCTTATAAGCTCCGATCTTATATATTGAAAAATAACTTCAAGTTGGCATACTCAGAAAAAAGTACTCTAAAATGTAGAATTGTTAAATATTAAGATATTATATTTCTAAATTATTTCTTAATTTAAGGGTAGATTTTTTTTAAATTTTAAACAATTTTTTAAATTTCAAAATTTATATAAAATCATTTTGGCTAGTGTTTAAATGCATATAATATAATTTCAAATTTTTACGACAATTCGAAATCGGAATCGGTTCCAAGTGTAAATGTTTCTGAATTTTACAAATGATTATTTTTCTTCTTTTTAGAAATGAATTTCATAATAGAAAACATTTTTACTAGAAAAAAGTCTTTGTAAATTTTATATTTTGTTTCATATATTTAGAATTTAAACATCTAAACACCAGAGATTTTTTTTTTATTATTGTTTTCAGGCGATTTTCCCAATTTCAGGTTGACTTTTTTCTAGATGAATGTCATAAGATTGTTGTTAGTTTTGAATTTGTAATACTTACTTCACTTTTCACAATAACACTGTTTAATTAAAGAGCATATTTGAGGTGTTATACCAAAGGATTACATTAGAGAAACATAAATTAATATATACGGATTATTTAGCAGTTGTTCGTAGAGCTAAATAACTTTTCTTTTCCTTTTTAATTTTGGGATGGATGGACGGGCTGGCTAGTTTAGACTTAATCAAAGGGCATCTCACAAGTCGAGGACCCTCAACGCGATCAACTTGTGACTCGTTTGTTGTTGTGCAATTTACGCTTGATTGTCGCTGGGTCGCCCGGTCATCGTCAGGTGGCAGCCACTGGCTAACGATATGCTTATTTTCTGTCTGTGCCTCCATCTGTATCTATATCTCTAAGTGTGTATGTGTGTGTGTGTGTGTGTTTGTTTTTGTTATTATTTTGTTGTTGTGCTGATTTAAGCACTATTCTAATAATCAGGTTTTTGACTTGCTCGCAGTCTAGTCGCGGAGTGTGGCATAAATTGCTTGACGTTGTTTTTATTTTCGTTTCTTGAAGACAATGCGAATAATAAATCTCGGCAGATTTTATATGTGATGGTACGGGGAACAATGATAGGAGGGGGTTGGGGCCCCCAACTGCAATTGCAACAAAGTTGATCGAGTTTAACCCATGTGTGTGTCTCTCGAGTTACATAAGCCCCAATACGAATATGTCTACTGCTTCGATCGGGATACGTTTTATACGTAAATCTTCATTAAATAATATGTACGCTATTTCGAATCCCGTCGCTTCAGAGATCGATTGACAGTCAATTCCCTCTGCAGACGATTTCCGACGTGATTCGAAATATATCGGAGTGTAGCAAAATAAAAGACACATGACTGACCCCAGGTCAAGCGAATGACATATTTCAAATATATTAAGAGAGAACGCTGCAGTTTATAATGTAACCGACTGCGATATACTTTGATGCCATAAGTAATACCATCTGATAACAGGTGCCACAGAACAGGGTGGGTGTTTCCAAGAAATATCGGTCTTTGAAGGAGATTATTAGCAATCTGTCGTCAAAAAAACGTTGAAAGAGTTTCCTAGTAAACTTCCATCCAAGTTTGGTAACTGAAGCTCTTAAATTGCGGGAGATATATGCTTTTAATGAATTCAGGCAGTTTGCCATCAAGATTCGGTCAAAAATCAAACTGTTAGCTTGTAAGCACATTTGAGGGAGAATTAATAAATCTTTGATAAGATATTACATAATGAATGCAAATAAATTCTTTTTTATAGCTTTGGAATGTTCCATGATACGGCAAAAATAGGCTGCCATCCACGGGTGGGCCCCATAGTGCACATCATGACGCCGACCTTTGGAGCGGATACGCTGCAGGTTTGCTGGTCAAACTGCAGCCGGAAGTACATCACCCACTTTCTAGAGTAAGTGAATAACAAATACGAATTGTTTGCGAGACAATCAGCTACGATTTTATTGTGCTGCAGCCAGGGATTGGGTGAGTGTCTGGATGATCCGCCGACGCCGGCAAATGAATACAACTATCCGGAGGCGCTGCCTGGCGAGCGATACAATGCGAAGCGGCAGTGCCGCATGCAGTTTAATCTGACCACGGATAGCGATGTGGGTGCCTGTTCGGCACCACACGAATTCTGCTCGACGTTGTGGTGTCGCGTCAATGGCGAGTGTGTCACCAATATGCGACCGACGGCGCCGGGCACCGCGTGCGGCAAGAACAAGTGGTGCCAGAACGGCAAATGTGTTCGCATGGAGGAACTAACGCCCATCCATGGCGGTTGGGGCAATTGGAGCGAGTGGAGCGAATGCTCGCGCAGCTGCGGCGGCGGTGTATCCATACAGCAGCGCGAATGCGATTCACCCGTGCCAGCAAATGGTGGCGTCTTCTGCATTGGCGAACGCAAGCGCTACAAGATCTGCCGCAAGAAGCCATGTCCAGAGCACGAGCCCAGCTTCCGGGCACAGCAGTGTGCCCGCTACGACAATGTCAGCTATCAGGGTGCCACCTACAAGTGGCTGCCCTTCTTCGATAAGAGTAAGTGCAGCCAAGTGCCAAGTGCAATCCGGGCAAGAAACTCACATTAACTGAGCTAAGCTAGCCAAAAACAACGATAGTAAAACCAGCAAAATTCTAGCAACGGAATTGAGAGATCAAGGAAAATAGAGTATGTCAAGAAAGTGTTTTGACAAAGGAATAAATCTGTTTCTTACAACTTCGTTTGCAAAAAAAATGTATGATTTTTGTTCTCTTACAATTTTTAGTTTTCTCCTAAAACTAGTTAAGAAAATATCTTTTTCATTTGAAAGCTTTAAATTAATATTAATCGTTCCATAAAATACCACGTTCTAATTTTGTATAAGTTATACTTTAATTTGGTATACAAAATTCTCGTAAACCACAGTGATTCAATTACTTTATTAGAATCAATTTTTATGTTGGAACCTTTGAGTTCATTAGGAGGGAAAGACTTGAGTACAGGGTATCTCCTCTTATTTGTTTTTTTTTGTTTATTGTTTTTGTCGTATGAAGAGATCTGATCTATAACTGTCAACTTTCTCTCTCTCTCTCTTTCCCTTTCTATCTGTTTCTGTTCCGCTTAGACAATCCGTGTCGACTGTTTTGCAGTGATGTGGATGACACGATAATTGCCAATTGGGGCGAAACTGTGCTCGATGGCACACCCTGTACGCTGGGCACCAACAACATGTGCATCGATGGCATCTGTAAGGTAAGAGTTCGATTCAGCAAATCACTTGGCTATTTGGCTGTTTGGCTGCATGTTTGCTCGACGCGATCAATTAAACAAGCGTTTCATTCAGAAAGTTGGTTGCGATTGGATCGTTGACTCGGACGTGCAGGACGATCGTTGCGGTGTCTGTGGCGGTACTGGTGATCAATGCAAGCCCATAAGGGAGACATACAGCGAACCCTTCAATGTCAGCGATGGCGTCTACGTGCAGATTGTCAGCATTCCGGCACGAGCACGCCACATTGTGATCGAGGAGTTGGCCAATTCGCCGCACTTTCTGGCCATTGGGCGTACGCAGGGCGAGAAATTCTATTTGAATGGCGACAGTCTGATCTCCATGCCCGGCGAATTTGAAATCGCCGGCGCCGAGAGCCTCTACGATCGGCTGGACGAGCAGGAGACCATCAAAATACCTCAGCCCATACAGCATTCCATAGCGTTATATGTAAGTCGATAATATTTTATATTTGTGTTGATCCCAGCAGATTTCATTCTGACTGACAAACTTGGTGTACAAAATCGGATATATATGAGATTGAGATAGCTGTACTTTCTGGTTGTTTTTCATCCGACTGGCTCCGATTTATATTAAAGGAAAAATAAATAATAAAAAAACATTCAGAATCTCATCGGCAAACAGCTGGAATTGTGTTACACGCATCATTTTAATTTCTCATTCAGTTGGTGGCTGAAATGGGCTTAAATTGTTTAACAAGTGGAAAATTGAAAAATATACGAGTTTATTTTGTTTATATTTAATCGAAATAAATATTCTTTATTCGCATTTGCAGGCGATCGTGCGCGGCAATGAGAGCAACACGGGCATCTCATATGAGTTCACGTTGCCCGCTTTTAAGGTGAGCGGTGGTCGGCAGCATCAGTGGCGCCTGAGCAACTGGACCGGCTGTTCCGTTAGCTGCGGCGGCGGCGTGCAGCATCGGGAGCCCATCTGTCTGGAGAATGGCAAGGGTAAGCTCACTCCCAATTCACAATCCCACCAATGGTAAAAAGTCGATTGAGGATTAATGATATATTCAACCATATTTTGCAGTGATTGCCGACAAACTGCCATGCTGGGCGCAGGCGAAGAACAAGCGTCCGTTGCGCCAGACACGCTCCTGTGCGGAGCAACAGTGCCCGGCGCACTGGTGGCCCGGTCCCTGGCAATTTTGTCCGCTCACCTGTCGGCAGCCGGGCGCTCCCCTGCCGCAGCGCCGTCGCTCCGTTGTCTGCCTCGATCAGCACGATGTTGTCGTCGCGGATGCCCAGTGCGGTCTGCTCACAAGGCCACCCGAGGCGGAGCCATGCGAGGCAACGTTGCCCGAGTGCCGGCTCAAGCTGTGAGGAAGTGAGCTCCAGTTACTGGACATCGAAAACGGAAACTATTTATTGCTACTAATTAAAATGAAAGCTAATTTAAGTGAGCAGCAAATAAAACACAGACAGGTTTACATATATATATATATATATATATACATTATAATAATTATTTAACAAGTTCGAATTATGCGTGTAGTTAGATCGATAGGCAATGTTATCGATCAATAATATTAAGTCGACGATTAAAATCGAGACGTCTGCAATTTAGTATTTAAAACCAGTGCAAAAAAATTTAACAACAAAGCAATATATATATATATATATATACAACAACATATATTTATATATATATACAATATTTTTTTCTTCCATGATATACTTAACTGTACTCACAACGACTCTTTGAATGTTATACTCAACATTTTATGCTCTCCATTTATAAATTATATAACTGCTTGTCCTATGTGAAGACAGAGGTCCATAAAATGCAAGTCCTCTAAGGAATGTAGAACTGTGTTATGCTCATCAGTTTTGTTTAATAAATAATCGATCTATTAGTAGTGTACGGATTGCCTTTTTGTTCGTTGTTCTCATTTCGTCACATATGAGGCATTTTTGTAGCTACTTCAAACTGTCAAGAATTATCATATATATATATATATATATATATATATATATATATATATATATATATATATATATATATATATGACTAAAGTCTAACTTGTCGAATATTTCAAAAAGGGCTCTTGCGACGCACATTGCTCTTTGTAGAGCTACTTATAAGCTTCGCCTGATTTTGGTTTGATAATATTCGAGAATATCCCAACGTTCTTTCAAAAATTAAAGTACATCGATTTAATAATCAGTATTTCAATACATTTTTATCTTTGATGATTCATTTTTAGATACATATATATATATGTATATAGTTAACAACGATTACGTAACTAATGCAATGCCGAGCATCACAGAATGCACTTAAATAAACTTGACAAAAAAAAAACAAAAAAAAATAATAATACTAGAAAACTAAGCCTAAAATATAGGCAACTTATGTTTGTTATGGAATGTGGGTGGTATTATCTATGATGAGATAAACAAGTAATAATAATAATATATAAAATGAATATAGATGAGTCAACTGGAGCTGCAACTGGAAGTAAGGAATAGTTGGTAAATCACATATGCATTCTCTTAGAAGCGCGTGTTGTCCGGCATTTTGCGAAAGTAAGCGATCTTATCCTTGGGCACACGATATCCGTGCATCCACCGGCTGCCCTTGCGCAGGGAGCCATCGATGCCGTCCTTCCATACGCCCTGCGGCAGGTAAACTGCAAACAAATATGAGTAAACATGTCAAATGGGATCCTTCTGATTTTTTTCAAATTACAAAAAAATAACCATATGAAAATCATTCAAGTTTAAAAAAGTGTGTGTTTTTTCCAACACGAATGAACGAAACTTTCTGCATAATTAAAAAAGAAAAACATTTCTTAATTTCCTCATGCATGCATGTGAAACTTATAACCAAAACAAGGATAACTGCAGGGGGTAGTTGGGACACATTGGGATACATCGCTGAGCTCAGACAGACAGACAGACAGACAGGCAGACAGACAGACAGACAGACAGGCAGACAGACAGACAGGCAGACAGACAGGCAGACAGACAGGCAGGCGGACACGGCTAGATCGGATCATCAGTTGATGACCAAGAATATATATATACTCTATGGGGTCAGGCAGAAATAACAAAAAACAAACGAAAGGCGAAAAAAGTTTCTCAACATTTCGTTTTGGATTAGATTGTACAGATAGCGCCGGGTGCGCCTGGTGGACTTACCTTCACGCTCTTCGCGACCCGCATCTAGAATTGGCGCAACAATGAGCTCCTCGCCGACAGAGAATTCATCGCTGACAATGAGACAGGCGGGATCATGGGGATCGAGCATCCAGAGCGGACGCACCAGAGGCAAGCCCTCGTTCATCGATGGACTTAGATATTTCTTGAGCAGCGCTATGACCACCGTCTGGCGCACCTCCTTCAGCTCTTGGGCAACACGAGTGACCAGCTCGCTGTGATACTCATCCGGCAGATGACTGAACTGCATCGCTGGCAGGAATGTGGCCAACTGTAGCCAGCGTATGAAGAGCTCTGCATCGGGCAGCGGTGGCTGTTCCAGTGAATAGAATGAAACCATTTTGGTGAGCGGACGCTCGAGCAGATAGTCGCCACCAATGGCGCCAGGCAGCACAAATGGATAACCAATGACGCCATAGTTGAGCACTGCGGCCAGCGTATCCCTCAATCCCTCCCACGTTGCGTTTGCCGGCGGTGTGCTCAGAAATGTTGGCGGCCTTGGCACAACGCTTGCCGTCGAAACGGCCATCAAACCGGCGCTCTCCAGGCTGCTGGTCAGCATGCGGGCGTACATGTCCGGATTGTCCAGCGGTTTGCGGCACTGATAGTAATGCGGTAGATTGTAACCGGTGCCCAGATCTAAATAGAAACTCTTCACACCATACTCATCCTTCAGACGCTGCAGTTTTTCCAGCAGCCACGGCACAGATGCATTATTGGTGATGTCCAAAACGCCGGCGCTGGAGCTGCTCTTATAGCGGGTCAGGGCGGGAATGCTGCGCTCCGAGTAGCGCTCATAGATGAGCAGCTTGCGTTCAACGGCATCCTTAAAGTTTGCACTATCCGTGCTGATGAACGGCTGAATGGTGAAGACGACCTTAAAGCCGCGCCGATGCAGCACATCGATGGTGTCCTTGAGCGTTGGAAAGCGTGCGCGATCCACTGTGAAATCGCCAATATTCTCCTGCCAGAACTCATTGATGACAATGTGGCCCAGACCGATGGCAATCGCATTCTCCGAGTAATCACAAATAATGGTCTCGTTGAGGGCATCCCGTTGCGCCTGATGTGGCATCTGCCACACTGGCTCCTCCAGCAACGAGTGCAGCTCCCCAATATCCTGCTCGGTCAGTCCATCCCAAAGGCTCTGCTGTGTCATTAGCATGTGCAAGCTGCGCATATCCTCCGTCGTGCATATCCGATAATCGAGCTGAGGCAACGGCGTCAAGCGATTGACAAATGTGAAATCATCGTTGGCTGCCCGCAGACAGAACTGGTTCTCTGTCCGATTGATGCTCAGCTGGAGCGGCGTACGCTCGCTAACCTGCATCGCAACGCCAATGGAGTTGATGAAATATCGCTTCACCCCATTACCAAACTGATGCACCTTGCTATCGCCGCTGGCATACGGCATAAAGTCAAAGTTGGCATAGCTGAGGGACCACTCCTGACCCTTGGTAATGCCACCGCCAAACCACAGTCCATTATCCCGCTTCAGCTCATAGCAATCTGTCGGCAGCAGGCCAGGAGTGAGGGCCTGCCACTGCAACGTATAGCACCGGAACACCTGTTTATCCTCGAAGTTCATGTGCAGGCGGGCGATTCCATTCCACTCGATGCAGACGCTGCCATCGCTGCGCCGATGATCCTCGAGGCAGTGGAAGGGCGCCGTATCGCTACCGAGTGTTACGCCCAAATGGCCAGATATCACCTCCTTGTCCTCGTGGCTCAATATGCGAAAGATGCGATCCTTTGAGTTGAACTTGATCTTCTGGAAATAGCTCTTGGTCAGCACCTGATGATGGTATGCAACGTACGCGTAGCCAATCTGCGACCAGAAATCTTAATTCGTTAAGTTCATTTCGATTGAATTGGTAAATTGCACAACTTGCCAGAAAGATGATGATGAAGAACATCAGGATCACAAAGATTTTTATCTTGTAGTCCTTCGTCTCGCGCTTCTTTTTGCGTATCATCTGTGGAAAGGCCTGTTAAAACAGGCACCTATTAATAAATGCACACAAACATTCTTTGGCTGCAGCTACTCTATTCCTACATATTCCAATAAACACTATATCAACTCCCATTTATAATGAATAATGATCTAGCTGTGTAAAAACTCTTTTGGTTTTTCTGTATCTTTCTGTACTTAATTAAACTTTTCCCCATCCAGTTTACGGCGCTTTCTTCCCTTTGCTCTAAATACCTTCATCACTTTTTGACTTTATTTTACCTGGCAATTTAATCAATCTTTTCTTTTCCCATATCTTCGATTATCATCTCTATTCTTCTATTATCCTTTTTTCTGTTTGTATTCCCCTTTTAATTTAATCATAATTTATTTTCTTCGTCACTTTTCTTTATCTTTTATTTCGCTTTTCTCTTCACTTTACTTTTTTTTTGGTAACAGTTTTCCTTTTTTAAGATTCCTCTGTTCTTTTACACTATTCTTAAACTTCTAATCAATCCTTCAATTTATTGGGTTCTCAGCTGCGATTTCCTTTCTTTTCTCAACCTATCCCTCTCTCTCTCTATCTCGATGCCTATCTCTCTCTTCCTCTCTCTCTATCCTCCCATTTATTGAGTTCGCAGTTCCTTTTTCTTTTCTTTTCTCAACATATCAGTCCATCCCACTCCCTCTCTCTCTCTTTATATATCTCCATCTCTCTCTCCCTCTATGTATCTATCTCTCTCACCTGCATCTTTTCACGCAACAGACTGGCCAAAGAGTTGACGCTGGTGATCGAGGCCTGATTGCTGGCCAAGCTGTGCGTGTCAAAATCGCTGGCCAACATCTCCTTGCTGTTGAGTCGCAGGGCGGGCAGCGGGGCAATTGAGGCGCGTCTCCGACTTCGAAAGCGATCCCTGTCACGATCAACAACAACAAATCAAGTTTAAGTTCGAGTGTCCTACATATTAACGAATGTACACAAAGCTATGTGATTGAATGTGACTCAATATTTACGACCGCTGATCGCTGATAGTGAATGTGACCAAGTTAATTTCACTTGTCACATTGTATTTATGGCTTCGATTATAAATTATTCGTTAACTTTTAGTTAAAAAAAAAAAAAAAACGAAAACAATTATTTTTTATGACGAATATGACAGGCTTTTGTCTATGCTCTTATCTTATTGCGAACTGTCTGAAATGTCTAGCGTCGCTAAATTATCAGTAAATCTGGAAATGTTGATAATGACAATGAAATACTATTGGCAATATAGAATTGCGTAAGTACAATAAATTAGTTTCGAACTTTTAGTTATTATAGATTGACTTATGTATATATATATGCACTTATACCAAAATTTACCAACAATTTAGATAAATGAATGACTTGCAACAGTTTTTTGTGGATTATATTATTGATGTCTTTAAATCTCTAGATATTATATTATATGAAAAGAAACATAGCTTTATTTTTCTAATACATACTTATATGAGTATATATAGTCTGTATTATATATATATTTTTAACAATGTCCGAAAGTACAACTCTATATACAAGAATAGAATTGTTTATGCATTCGTCTTAATGGCATTTGTTGTCAGGTGTCAGTTTCGCACACACTCTGATTAAGAGTTAGATTAGCGAGAATTAAGAGCCGCCTTTATCGCTGCTACTTATCTGGCCAAATTCGAAGGCCAAAAACACAATTCATTCAACGAGAAACTCGGTTGTGGATAGGAAGTAGGAAGGGTGATAGAGGTGACTTGTGTGGCGAATAGTGTGATCCATTTCATGAATTACCTTATCTGTCGTAAGTCGCGTAATTGATAAAAATACATAGTACATTATGATTGTTCTAATTCACATCAATTTATTTATATTTATACATAATATCGTATTAAATTTTGTGATTTCTGGCGAAAAGTACATTTTATATCGGCACGAAATAAGTAAAGTGCCTTTTAAGAGCTGGAGCTACTTGGACACACATTGAGATACATAAATACAAACATTATTTGAAATATATATGCAAGCCCAACCTGATTACCTGATCCAATATCTAATTGCTATATATAGCGTTGTAGCTGGCTGTGCGGCGAAACAGACTGACTTATTCGCGTTCGTGTTATCACGCCTAATCGCAACTATCAACTGAGCAGCTAGTGCGACTTTAAGATACAGATACACAGCTACAGTCATCAGCATCAGCATCAGCAGATTTACAAAAATGTCTTGAATTGCTCGCCTCTGCTGATTTTTATCTCTATATCTATATATATAAATATATATATATATATATATATATACATATATGTATTTATATACACTAATATATATACATATACTCATTCACTGCTGTTGCAATCAACAACGTTTTCATGAACAACAACTACAACAACTGTTCTCGTCGTCGTCGTCGTCGTCGTCGTCATGATTTGTGCCTTTTGATTTACTTATCATAAACTTGGGGTATTTGCTTGTGTCTCGTCTCAGCCCCCTGCTCCCATCTGCCATCTGCCGTCTGCCATCTGCCACCTACGCCATTACACACACAGAGATATTAATTCTATTTAACGGCAAAATTACTCATACACAGCCACACACGCTATGTTTTGCTTACGGTTGTCGACACACAACGAAAGCTTTACTTTTTGAGCTTTTGCACTTTCACCACCCTCCTCCGCGCACAAGTGCAGCGACTGCACAGCAAAAGCTCTCTGTGTGGATAACTTATTGTGCTTAAATGCGTGCAGTGAGTTTGTAGTGTAATGATTCCATACCCTGCCAATTAAACTATAATAATACCTGTTAAATGCTGGGTTTAGGGTATCTTGTAGTCGAGCTCACTCGACTATGGCATTCTTACTTGTTATAAATAATTTATTCAGTTAAGATTATATGTGCATTTGATGCCGTAACTGCATTTAACCCTTAAGTCTGCTATTCGATATTAAGAACTTAAACTGCTTCCTCTTAAAAATAAAAATATTTATTATTATGGAAATAAATTTGAGATTTTCAACAATAATTCTTTACAATCGATAAAACACATCGACATAGTTTTTATCGTATTTTTTTTTTAAAGGTTTTGAGAGCTATACAGTGCACATTTAATGTTTATGTATAAAGTGTATCGTGAAGTCGTGAAGCAATTAATTTAATGGACGCAGATTAGTTTTCTTTTAATTTATCGATAACTGCCTTCAATCTTCTTAATTCGAATCGTATTCTTAAGAAGGTTCTTAGGGCTACAGCTACCAAATTAATATGTATATAAACAGGGCATCGTGAAGTTAGACAAATATATTTAATTTATTTATACTTCCCCAGATTCTGACTGTCCTTTGTGTTTTATGCAAATTTTCTAAAATGCTACAGGTAGCGAATTTAATATGTTTGTTCTCGTACATCATTTAATTATCGTCCATTTGACAGCTCTCACATGTTTCACATTTAATTACAGCTTATCCCAATCATGTAAAATTAGCTCGACACGTTAATTTGGTAAAAAAAAATAACTGAAGTCATTTACAAGTTTATAAATAACAATATTCGTCAAAATCGAACAATGACTTTTGAGACAATCACTGCACACAGTTCGTTCCTTACTGAAACAGAACCTTCGTGTAATATCATTTTAAGTGCAAAGCCAACAATTTGGACTTGCTTTAGGAGCCGGAATGCTGAGAAAGGCACTTCCAGCATTCCCTTCGTTCCCTGTTCCGTTCCCCATTCACCATTCCGCATTCCCTAAGCCACTATTAAATGGCTGGCTGGCTGGCTGGCAAGTGACGTGTCGTTAATGTACTTCAACAATTGATCCAAATTAATTAACTTAATTGCTGGCAGACCTTTGACCTGCTATACTGCAACAACGATCACGTGCTGCGACACTGAGTTAAGTGGTGAGTGCCAGACACTCAAAAATTCACAGGGTATGCAATCTGTGTATGCTGTGTTTGATGCGAACCCGACACGAACCCCGTGCAAGGCTCAGATTTATTTGGCTTCATACAAAATGTAAGCATCTACTAAGAGTTTTTTGCTAAGAAATGCACTAAATATGTGTCCTCAAGTTACCAATAGTATGTTTGCCATTCTAATTCTAACTAAAATTGCTGGTAGGTATTTCAAAAATAATAATTAAAAGTAATATGGACTCTTTAACGTAAAAGTATCTATTAGGTTGCAGTTAGGTATATATATACATTCATAATTCCACTTTAAAGTTGACTTGGTTGATTCACTTAACTTGAACTTATTTACAGAATCTACACAGAAAAAAAAGAATACGAGCACTTCATGGCTTAGCTTCTGACAGCGTTCAGAGCTATGGCTTTTTAACACTGATATGCGAAATGATATTGAAAAAAACATATGCACTGAGATGATAGAAATAGAAAATACCACAACTAGTGGAAATATTTATGGAAATTGGTATGGCATGGGTTGGAAATGCATAACTCACTTGTAGACGGGTTTCTTGATATTTCCGAATTCATCGCTGCTGCTGTCATCGTCCTCCTGCTTGTGGTTCGAATCATTTGCATCACTGGGAGTTACCACAATCGTTGTGGGTGTGCCCACACTGGAGGCGGAGGCAATAAACTGTAAATATAATGTTATTTGCAACGACAATGCATGCATTTAATTAATTTCCAATTGGGTACGAAATAAGCGCAAACGCGGCGTATGCGCAATGTGTAATTTGTAATTTGCACTTTGCAAATGCGTATATATATTTTTATAAGAGGCGTATTTCGATTCCTGTCTGCCAGTGCGTGCAGCTGTAACTGGTTTTGGGCAGACCGTTAACCAATATTGATCAGTTCAAATCACAGCGATCGGCCCGAAACTCACACTCAAACTCCAACTCAAGCTCAAACTTCCACTCGCACTTGTACTTGTACTTAGTTAGTACCTGCCTTGACCTCAGTTAGCTGTTGTGCCTCGTCCTGTAGCGCTTCATGCTGCTCCAGCTTTGGCTGCACGCTGCTCGGTGTGGAGCTCATTGTCAGGAGCTGTGCGAGACAATTGCGGCCAAGTGTCGAACGCTAACAGATCTGAGATACGAGAATCCCAGAACTCGGTTCTCGACTGCTAACTTTGGCGGCTGCTTGATAATTGCTCGAATATTGTATTAAAAATGACGACGGCTTTGCTTGAATCCACTATCTGTGGGAGTGTACTCTCTCTATGTGTCAGTGTGTGTATATTGTTAGGTGTGTGTGTGTGTCTGTGTGTGTGTGTCTGTGTGTGTTTGTTTAATCGCTCGTCGCGCTTCAGAGCGATCACAAGTACTCGGTTCTGAGTGATTAATTACGACGCTTCGGCTTCGCATTTCTCACAATTTCATTGAGACTTTTGCGACGTCGCTCGTTCACATACATTTCTACATATTTGTATGCAAGTCGAGAGTGGCTCGATAAGTATAATAGTTAGAGTGAAATAGGGTGACTCAATGTAAATTGTCGTTCAATATACAATTGTTGCGTTCAAGCCTAAACAATCTTTAATCTTAAAATAATTGATATATCTTGCGTTCCAAAAATCAAATGGCGAATCTTTTTTCAAAAATTCTTAAGTGGAAAACATTAAATTAGAAATTGAAGCCCCAAAATTATAAGTTATAATCTCAAATCGAAAATGTCTTCGTAAAACGGAGATTGAAAATGAGAATTTAGGAAAAGGAAAAAAAAGCTCAAACTAAAATTATTCATTGTGAAACATTCGGTCTCAATCTAAGCATATATATGTTTTACTTGCGTCAATAATGTATTCTTAGTTATATATTGTTGACTATCTCAGTTTGTCATCGTATATTTTATGTATGTATTCCGGCGATTAGCATTCACACTATCTGCAAAACAGGTCAAATGTGTTTTAAAAGAATATTTGGAATTCAAATAATTCAAAATGCTTGTTATGGGATTTACTAAACATAATTTAAGAGTGATTTGAATAACCCCAATCTCGCTGCTTAGTCATTTAAAAGGCTAAAGAACATTTTGTTTAGTTTCTACATCGACACATTGTCGATACTTACTGAAACACTCTCGCTGCAAGCAAAAAGGCAACTGTCGAATGGAACTTTGATTTTGTTATGTGCCGGGAAATTGCTATGAACTCAGATCCATAAATTAATCAGTTCAGTGGGCTCTACACTAATTATGACCGACAAGTTTTACCATTTAATCTTAACAAGTTCCCATAAATTATGGTCTATCGATTTTCACTGCCACTCATAAATCAATTTGTCCCTCATTGATGGAGACGATTTGAGCCCCAAATTTGCTGTTAACATCTAAATCGAAATACCCAGCTCTCATCTAATTGGTTTTTACAATTATTTTACTCTTTTAATAAAACTTTTAGATTTCGCTCGCACTATTTTTATGAGCCTAGACTCATAAAATAACCCTTTGCCGATCCAGCAAATATTGGTCAGATTTAAGATTTTCTGTTTGCTTATAAATATAATCAGCTATTCAAATATCTATTGCAGTTTGCTTAGGCATAATATAAAATGAAAAAATCATTACATACTTTTAGGCTGAATCATTTTAGGAAAACGTGTCGAGTAATAAAATAATTTTAATAAATGTTCTCAAAAATGAAAGCATTATCTTTTGTGCCGAGCTATATTCCCAACTAATGTCCAACAATTTATTATAAATATATTATTATAATTTAAGTTGCTGTTATTTTTCGATCTCTGTCAAATCAATGTTTTATAACATTTCAATAGATCGATCAATGTTGTTTATACGAATTTTAAATTAAAATTGGTAAACAAACAAAATCTTCATTTGGTAGGTGAAAATTACTGGGCTGTCGTACAGCCTTTTAGATTCAACAGTCGCCGACTGACTATTTACAATTCACATTAATTATATTCAAAGTGTAAACACAAGCAATAAAATTGAAAAGGCAAACAAACAAAAATGACAGAGCTGAGAACAGCAATAATCATATTAGTATAGATCGAAGGTGTTAGCGTTGATGATGTCGTTGCGATGCTCAAATGCTATGTATTAAATGAGGTGAGTTTTTTTTTGTTTGCAATCGATACGATTTTGGCTGAAAACGCTTTTCACTTGTATAGGATTTTAATTAGCTGCTTTGTCAAATATTTGATGGATTTCAAGTAAAATATTAACTGAAATTTAACAAGCGGATAATTATCTCAGCACACACACAAACATTAGCAATGTAGAGATAGCAGCTCAACTAATGAGCATTTTATTGTTATTTATTTGGTTTTTGTGTGTGTGTTTTTTTGTTTGTTTTTTGCTTTTTTAGAGTGCAAAACTCGTTTCCGTTTCGACTTGAAATTGTGTCTTTAAAAATGCGAGAATTAAAATGCTACCTTTGCTACCCCTTCACCTTTCCATTTTTTGCTACTTACGCTCTCTTCGTGTAGCGCCTCCTGCGCCTGCATCTGATGCCGCAGGCGCAGCGCCTCCAAATCCAACGAATTGATACCCATCGGCAGCGATATGGAATTGCGTCTCAGGCCGTGACTAAAATGATCTCGATCCCGTTCTCTTTCTCCATCTTGTTGTGACACTGGCGGCGTAGCCGTATCTGAGTTGAGTGACGAAATTTCCAGCTCATCGGGCAGCTCTTTAACCACAAACAGATGTGGCAGCTCCATATTGCGACGCTGGCCCAGCGATGGCTTGCGTTGGCCTACAGACGCCAGTAGCTGAACCTGCTCCTCATCGACATGATGCAGGTGCTGGTCCTGATCCTGATCCAAGACCTCATCCGCATAGGGCAACGCCTGCGCCTGCCCATTGAGCGCCTGGGCAGCCAACAGCGGTGCCGGTGCCGACACTGGCACTGACGTCGGCGTCAGCTGTGGCATACTCTCGCCTGAAGCGCGACTTGTACTTATGATCGTTTGGATGGGTTTGCTTTGGTTTGATTTTGGTATTCATTAAGTAGTATTAACACACAGACAACTTGTGGTTACGTGCGCTCGCGATCGCGTTCAGGTTGCGACTCGCTGGGCAAAGCGAGAAACCAAATGCTGCCCCTAAAAAAACAAAACACAAAAAAAACCGTCAACAGCTCAGCTCAGCTGAGCAGCAGCAGCAACAGCAGCAGCAGCGACAGCGGCAGCTGGGTGAGGGCAGGGTCGCTGGGGTGTGGGATGTGCTAGGGGGGGGTGTGGGGGGGGGGGTGTGGGGGGGGGGGGGTATGTGGGGTTATGGGCCAAAAAGTCGCGTTGATTGTGGCTCAGCATGTTTGCCTTTAATCATTGGCTAAGTGTGAGTATGTGTGTGTGTGTGTGTGTGTGCTTATCATTACCATTTACATTATCATTCCATTCGCTGGGGCTGCCTACGATTATCGTCGATTTTTACAGTGATTACGCATACGAAGCGTTGTACGCATCACTTTTAACTGGGCCGCCGTGTCGCATAACAATTTATTATTTACCATGTTTATTGAAACAGCTAATTAAATTCGTTGTTTGAAACAAAAGAGAAACGCATTTGCTTTTGATCGTCTTTCCCTTTTTGTACACCTAATTAGGCGACATTATCTCAATTGCACTCTAACATTATCTCGCTCGCCCTCTCGCTCGATTTGCGTCTGGGGTTTAGCTTGCTATCAGCAGCCATAAAGCGTTTAATCAACATCAAGTAAATCGCACCAATTGATCAAATACTGGAAATAGGCGTCAAACGGTTTATTCGCTCCATACTCAATACCCTATAATCAACACCATCTAACCAGTTTCTTAACTATCGTATATAAAATGTTCGAGCATTACGCAGTTCAAGTGCGAGCAGTCGTCGACTCATTCGAGTCTTCGTTTTGTGATAATTAAAAAAATATATGCCGCACACTTTTATTTGTCTTAGCAAGTATCGAGTTTCTCTACACCACAATAAATAAGAAAGTGTCAGTGGCCGACGTGGAAATACCCTGTATACAGTATTTTTTTTGTGATGAGAATCATAATTTATTATCGACCGAGAGATAAGTGCTTGTCAGGCTGAGCAGACATAAATTTTAACGTGACTTTTGACAACGTACATAAATAGGGAAGTAGTGAGGTGGAATGGATGGGGGCGGTCGTGGCATCGGTTTCAAGAGCTCAAAACATGTACAGTCTTTTGCAAAAAAAAAGTATTTTATTATCAACTTTTATTTATTTTCTTATTTTTCAACTATTATTTTTCTATTTTTCATACTGTCAACAAGATTCATTCATCTAAATATTTTTGAAATTTTTAAAACCAAAATTATACATTCTTTGGACTGTCAATAAAGTGTTTGGACGATTTTGCAATTCCCTTTTCGGCCTAACCCGTTCGAAATGAGCTATTTTGTATACTTTGATACCGAAATGCGCATATCTTTCACAATTTGTCAGCTAGAGTCACCAAGCTTTGAGCGTATGTTCCTGGTAACTCCTATAAGAGATCGATAAAGATTTGAATGATATGATCGATAAGGAATTGGACGATACACGCTTATATCTTCCGCAGTTTAAAAGCTACAGTTACCAAACACATTTTTTTGACCACGCCCACTCCCACCCCCAAATTTTCAAAATCTCACATCTCCCATAATTTAAGAGCTACAGTTACCAGACTTTGAAGAAACGTTACTATTTCTTGGCTACAGCCACCTTGTTCTTTGCTACCAGCTGATTCGCAGTCGGTTACGCCCGACTTAAATGTTCACTCTTGTTTTTGTATTGCATTTTGTCTATGATCTTGGTAGTCATATTCTTTTGAAATACACATCTAAAGGCAGCATAGCATTAATGGAAGAAGAAGAGTCGTATAAGAACAGCAGGACGAGGGAGTCGAGTTCGTGAAGCGCAAGGTTAAGATCGTCAATATGGTTAAGATTGTCAATATCCCGAGTACCTAAAGTTGTTCGCCGAGGAAGTAAGTCGTTGATTTAAAAAGTCGAACATAACGTTGCAAGTCCAATACTCATATTTCTCGTTAATATAATATTATATATTATAACTATTATATTATTATTAAACATGACATAATCAGTCCTACATTTTGGGGGCTCAACCGGTCGTGTGTCCTCTATTGAGAGTTATTGCGAAATTAATAAAATTCACCGTTACAAAAAGCAAAAGCAGCATAAGTAGTGAACAAGTAAAAGAGTATGTGTGATGGTGTAGCTGATAAAATAGAACAGAGACAGCAATACCGCGTCACCAGATCCCACCCACACACAAAAGTGACAAAGTCAAATTAGTGCAGTTGGAAGCAGCTCGATAAAAAGTACAGCTCGATGTATCGATGAAACGCATTCCGCAGCGCGCAGACGTGAGAATGGCTGAAAGCAATAAACTTGAAGAAGAAGGTGCAGTTGCCGGTCGGGCAATGGGCAATCGAAATGGGGGTCAAGAAAAAAGTTGAAGAAGAAATTTCAAAAATGAACGAACTTCAAGGAGAAGCATCTGCCTATTGCATACTTTTAGGCAACTTAATTATACCCTGTTCATCCATTTTTAACGGGCAGAGGGTATAAAAAAAGTCAAGTGGTTTCGTTTAAATGTAAGCATTAATTAATAATACTGCGACTTAAATTTTGTTAATATCCCGTTTTGTTTTAAAAGTTAACCTCATTTAAAATGTTTATTGTGTCTTATGTTAAATTAGTGAGTAACTTTATGAAATACTCAAATTTGGATTACTTTACCTATTGCATTGTTTTCCAAGATTCCAAGATTACAGTTGATTGCGCGACATTCAGCTTTCTCTGCCCGCTGATTTCTCCAACTATTTTCCGCCCAAGGTTTTTGTGGATTTGATGTACATAAAGTACATGTGTTTATACATATATATGTATATATTTATATATATATGTATGCTATGTATATATTTATATATATATATATATATGCTATGTACGAGTATATCTAGTGAATGGTCCATTCGGCTATTACTGTGTATTTATTTAATTAACGTTAATTCTAGCTTTTGCTAACTTTGCCAAATTTGGTTGACGCTGCAAAACATGTTGAACAAATAAATACGAAGCAAGTCGCGTGTACAGCCATCCCAGCAACAACGGATGAGTCTGGAGGGCTGCAGCGAAGGTGAAGATGTGGGTGCAACTGGCTAGACAACTTTTCATCTCTACCCTAATCAATAAGATACATACAAGTGCCAGCTGCATGTGCCTTCAGTTCACACGATTAATTAAGATATGTTTGGAAAATATTCAACTATAGAATAAGAAACGTTCTCTTTGGGCATGAAAACCAAAAACAAGTTGTTAGACTACTATAAGTTATACGAATACTATGAAGTCTTCCATCTGATAGTTAACCCACCCCAGCAGCGATCTAGTGAATGACTGCTTTTTACTGAATGCATACAATGTAGTTCATTATCTCCTCCTGTATACAGAACTTTTAAGTCAGGCACAAACTTGTCTTCGCTTTCTGAATAAATATCCTAGAATATGTCACCGAATCGTGAGTGATAATATATAAAACTGCATTACGATAATATATACAACACATTAATGCAACTGCATTGCACTATGTGTGTCTTGGTATATGGAATCGTATAATATTTCCAACTAGGGAAGCCTTAGTTTAAACTTTAGTTTCCAAGTAAACTAATCGTTTGCAATGAAGAGAACACATTTGAATTTTGTTGTTGCGCTTTTTATGGTGTTTATTTTGTATTTAGGGATTTTGTTTATATGCTTTTCATTGCTTTATGTAATAGAATAACTTTTTATAACACTTGTAACTAAATGTACAATTCATTTTCTTCCTGTGCTCTGCCCTAAATAACGATTAAAAAAAAAAAACAAAAAAAGGTTAATAATCATAATAATAGTAATGTATGTTGGTACATAAGGACATTGTTGCTTTCTTAATTTTTTTGTTTTTTTTTGTTTCGTTTGATTTATATATATATATATATGTAGTTTTATGTATATATTATGTAACATGCATTAATAATAGCAATAATAATAGTAATAATAATAACAACAATAACTGCCAGCAGGCGTTGCTGCTTTCGCAATGATCCCTGCTTGATCCTTCATCATCATCTACCTTCTTGGTGCCTCCTGTACTCCAATCTTCATCACCATCTCACACTTCTTCTCTTCTTCTCTTCCTGCTGCTTTTAGCCGGCGCCGGCGCTTGCCAAATTTTCATCTCTTTTCGTTTTTATTTAATTTCATTTATTAACTAACAACAACTACAAAATACATACATAACAATATCGGTACAGGTACATATGTGTATATATGTCTATATATATAATGTATGTATGTACTTAAATAGTGGCTATTTATCTTCCCGCTGGCTTTAGGGCATTATTAAATTCCGATAGACAAACAAAAACAAAAAAAAAAAAAAGAAGAAACAACAGTGTTTCCTCTGTACTTAAACGCTAAGAAAAAAAAATCGTTATCATTAATCATTAATCATAATTACTGACGATCCACAATAAATCGTAAATATAATCCGTATAATGTAAGGCACATTATACATTATATATATATGTAAATACATACGTACAAAAACAATACGAGTCCCGCCTTCTAAGCGGGCTACGGTTGGGGGTGGCTGGTGGTGTTATTGGGTCTATTGGGTTAGATATTGTTTCTCAACTGCTTCTTAGCAGATATATTTTTTTCTTGCTGTTTTTTTGTGTGTTTTGCATTGTTCTTCTTTAATATTTTATGGGGTATTAGGAGGGTTGGGGGCTAAGGGAGGGATTGTGGTTGCTTTGCTACTAATTGTTAACGGCACTTAATTGAGCTCCTTTCGCGTCGTATTGGGCAGCAGGAGGCACATAAGACCGCCACCGATGAGCAGGCCAGACACAATGAACGTTGGCACAGGACAGAAATGATCCAGCAGCTGGGCGATCACAATGTTGCCAATGATGCCGCCAAGTCGTGCCGCCACCATCGAAATGGCAACGCCAGTGGCACGCAACTTGGTTGGGAATACTTCGGTGATGAGGCAGTCGAGGGCCGCATTTGCCGCCGATATGGCGCCACTGAACACGGCCGAGACGATTAGATTCTGCAGTGAGCTGCGCACCAAATACATCAATGCCGAGCAGATGCCGGCCGTCATTGTGCCAGCGATGAGGAAGAAGCGGCGTCCCAACATATCCATGCCGAGGATGGCAAACAGATTTGCTGGTAGGGCGGAGGCGAGCGTTATCAGCGATTCCATGAACACCGATGAGGGTATATCCGAATTGCAGGTGCCATTGTTGCTTGCGGCACGGCTCTGATTCACCACATATTCGGTGACGGTGCATATGTCGGCTTGCTGTTGGGGATGCGTCTTCTCGAACTCCTCATAGCGATTGAACACCTCCGGGAACCACATCATCAGGCCATAGTAGCCAATGTGGAATGTAAAATTGATGGTGATCGAGACGAGTGTGAATCTCAATATGGGCGATTTGAACAGATCGCGGATGTGATCGACCATTCCATGGACCATGCGATGATATTTACCCTTACCGCCAGCAGAGCTATCTGTGGACGTTTTCTCATCGACCTCCAGATCGTAGACCATATACTCTTCGGGCTTCTTGCGTGTGTTCGTCACGAAGATGCCACGGAAAATGGCCAGCGCCTTATCCTTTTTGCCCCGGGTGAGCAGAAATTTAGGTGATTCGGGCAGATAGAAGAGCAGGAAGCCAACAAGAAATGAGGGAATCGAGCAGACCAATAGGAAGATGCGCCACGAGTTGTATGTGAACTCGGTCGAAGTGTAACCAATTTGTGTGGGAATGATTAGCCAGGCTAAACCGGCCACAAACAGATTACCAAAGGTCCAGAAGGCAGCCATGAAGCTAAGCATCGAGCCGCGTTTCGCTTTCGGTTGGAATTCGGCGAAATATGACCAGATGACAGGACCACTGCCGCCCAGCCTATAAATACAAACAAAACAAATTCACCAATTAGCATATATATATCATTACATCAGGTAATTAGAAAAGTACACATGTTAAATGATGCATGCAAATGTTTACGACCACATGCAAACCACTTTACACGCAGTTGCATAGCAGCCAGCTAGTGAGAGCGTCGCCCCAGAAACGTAACGAGTCATGGCCGATTAATGTTATTGTGTAAAGCCAATGATCAGTTCCAATTCGCATAAGCAATTAGCAAACCATTGGCAAAACTAATGAACATTAACAGTGATATATATAAATATATATATATATATATTTGTTTATATATACTCGGGTAGATCAGAGTATAACCTAAGAGACTGAGTCAGCCACCTAACAGAGGCCATGGCAAATGAGATTTTCCCATTTTTATTGATATATATATTTTTTTTTTGGGGCAATTCAGCGTGTAATATGATTATATGAAAACAATTTTATGATACGAATATGCGTACAACTGGCAAGAGCCTTAATTAGCATAAACAGTCACGATATTGCGGCTCAAATATTTTGTTGTTATTTATAACATAGTTAATTGAATTAACACCTCTGCAACCGAATGCCCCCAAACCATGCTGTTTTGCATGTGTCACTAGAGCAACAACGGCTCTGACTATATAGTCATATATATAAATATATATATATTCAGTATTTTCGATTATGTGACGTTTGTTTTTGATAAATTTGTGGCAATGCTGGGCTGCAACAGATTACAGGACTGTTTGAGAGTATGTTAACGCTATGTTGCACAGTCTAAGGTAAGCAGTTAACTGCTTGCGCAGACTGCTCGTATTTATGAGATTGTGGAATTCTTTATATCTAGTTATTGATAAAGTTATGTTTTACTTACGCTGCGCCATTGAGAAAGCGAAAGAGCATGAAATAGCCATAAGTTTGCGAAAACGACGAGGCAACAATGCAGAAGGCATTCATAAACGAGATGACAATGAGAATCTTTTTGCGTCCAAAACTGTCGGCGATGCTGCCCCAGAAATAGGCGCCGACCATCATGCCAATGAAGATGATCGAATTGAGCCATCCTTTTGTTTCGGTATTTAGATCCAAATCACATTGCGCCGATGGCAGAATGAATGACATGGAGATGACATCCATTTCCTCCGACGTACTGACCAGGCCGCAAATGGCCAGCAGTATGTAGTGGAATTTGCCATATTCGCACAGCTCGATGGCCCGCTCGAAGTTAGCGACTATGGGACGGGTCGGTGGCAGTTGCTTACGCTTTGGATTCCCATCGGAACTGTCAGCGCCAGCGACGGCACCGCCACCGGTACGCTCTACGTCCTGCTGCTTGCCATTGGTATTTGTTTCCGGCTCGTAGCCGCGATTATCTGCCGCAAACTGATACTCCGGCTGCTTGGCACCCGTGCCCAACGAATACGGCTGGATAATGGCACGATTATCAATATGCGTATTGCTATTGCTATTCGAACCGCTTAGGTTTGTCGGGTTGCTTGGATTGCTTGCTGCGTGCTGATTGTAGTTTGGTTGTTGGCCAGCTTCTACATTATAGGCTATAGAATCGGTGAATGGAGATCGAGGGAACAGGTATTAATTAAGCATAATCAACAACATAAATAATCATTTGATTTACACTTACATTCGCTTTTACTTTTTCCAGAATCACCTTCTACCATTCTATAGTTCAAGTTTTTGTTTGGTTTTTGTGCGCGTAGCAAAAAGGAGAATTACAATTAAATATGATGCGGGTTTATTGTATTTGTTTTCTGTCCGGTTATTCTACTTTGCCAAGCGTTAATGCTCAGTAAAGTTCAGTTATGTGGGGTTTGCTTTGATCCTTTAGTAATCTGTAAATACGCACAAAAAAAAAGCGGAAAATATGGTTTAGAAAATGAGTCAATTATGAATTAAATAATTTCATTGTTTTACTTATTTGCTACCTTTCTTAGATTTATGTCAAACTTGTTGCTGCCAGATTGAAATATAAATAAAAAGCAATACAAATCGACCCCAGCTCGATCAACCGATCGCTCAATTGGGCGTCTAAATGAATAGCCCATTAAACTATAATTGAACAGAATGAATAAATGGCATACGAATGCAAACACAGATAGATCACATACATGTGTGTATAAGTACTTATATGCCAATCAACGCCTGAATGTGGCCAAAGATCGTCTAATTGACGAAACTCTCCGTCACATAACGCCTTAACTATTTTACAACTAAATTATGCCCAAAAATAGACAAGTGAATGAAACAAATGTAGGGGGCGTGCGAAATGAACAAAAACAAAAAAAAAAAAAACAAAAGTAAACTATGTAATAATAACGAATGTATAAATGAAAGCGATTAAGAAATTAAGCCACCCATTGCGAAGCATTCATTAATGGGTAATTGCAGCCGCATAACATTAAAAACCCAATAATAATATATTTATCCGTTATTCAGCGGTTACCAGTGCTCTGTTAAGGCGCGTTAAACCGCTTCAAGGCAAGCGAGCAAACTTGTTTACTGATGAAATCTATACTGCGATCTGCTAATGTGCGTATTGATTGTTTGTTGACAGTACATAAAGATATTGTAAGTAATGCAATATAACCAAATCATTCGTAAGCAGCAATGTTAAGCAAATGTTAAACAACGGTTCGCTTTGCTAACGATCAAGCATTTCTAATTGAGCAACTGTTAGCTGGCAACCACTGTTAAGTGACAGAGATTTCAATTTCTCTTTCGCCTTCTATTTGCATTTCCATTTATATTTCCGCTCATCGTGTGACTGACTGACTGACTCTGAGGGAGTGGTGACAGTTGCGTGACTTGTCATTTGGCTTAGAGGCTTTATTGTTACCGATAGCCGCCATTGCGGCTTTTGTTGTTTTAATTTATGATTTATTGCGGGCACTGTAGCAATCTTCCACTTGATTTATATTTATTAAAAAGAACAGCCGCACCATCAGCAGCAGCAGTCATAGCTATAAAATACTAACAATTATGCACATCAAATCGTTTCACATTGAAACTGCCAAGATAGCAAACGGCTCTCGCATGTGGCATGAAGGAGAACAGGAACCGAATCAAACTTAAACCAGCTTTCGAATAGCGCCAGATAAGGAGAGCTAAAGCTAGAGCTAAAGCTAGAGCTGAAGCTAGAGCTAGAGCTAGAGCTAGAGAAATGTGCAAAAATCTCAATTAATTATGTATTTTAAAACAATTCATATTTAATTTCAATTACATGCCAATCGAGCATAATTAACATGTTTCAATTCCAGCATTTCAGCACGTTTGCTGCTAATTAACGGAGATTAAAAACAATACAAATAATAATCGTATTATATAGCACACACTACATTATTATATTTGACCTACGCCGCCGCTTCCGCAAAGTGCGCCCCTCACCAGTCCCGCCAAGACTAACTGGCCCTGCTGCCAAGCTAATCGGCTCTACCAGCTCAGAGTGCCAGGCACCAAGCAGTAAGTAGTAAGAAGTAAGTAGTAAGAAGTAAGTAGTAAGTAGTAAGAAGTAAGTAGTAGGTAGTTATTAGTAGGTGGTTAGTAGAAGGTGGTTAGTTGTAGGCACGTAGTAAGTAGTAAATAGTAAAAAGTAAGTAGTAAGTGGTAAGTCATAAGAAGTAAGAAGTAAGTCATAAGAAGTAAGAAGTAAGTCATAAGAAATAAGTAGCAAGTAGTAAATAAGTAAGTAGTAAGTAGTAAGTGGTAAGTCATGAAATGTTTTGCATACTCCCAGCCATCTGTCGTGTAGATATGAATGCAATACCAAGAGAAAGAGATAGACAGAGAGAGAGAGAGAGAGAGAGAGAGAGAGAGAGTGAGAGAGATCGGGTTGAGAAGATGGAGAAAAACGTAAACAAACTATGGATATTATGTGGGGTTCCAGTTAATTTATATATATGCTTGGAATGCAGCACATTTGAATGAAATACTACTGAATGGAATACTCCGTGCGTGGAATTAATCGGAGACTTAGCTTCAATGTCAGAAGCTGAACAGAATAAGCTGACTGTGAGCTACTTGTGCGAAAGGCACTCTTTGCTTTTATTTATTACTGGTTACTTTTCTTGTCGCCTGACATTTCTTGCACTAATTCAGTTTAATGTGTTGCGCGAGTTGAATGTAAATAAAACAAGTGATACAAAAAAATCCTAAGTTTTTTGCAAATTTGTGACAAATATCTTTAATTTTTATGTTCAATCTCACGCTCATTTACAGTTCTGATATTCTAATGTTTTTTAATATTTTCGTTTACCTGCTGCAGTTGGAATTGTCAAGTTCGCGTTGCACTTGTTGATTTGACACGTGTGTCTACCCGCTTTTTTTTTGTACTTTGTTTATTTCTCTTCTGCTTCGAAAACGATGAGAATTTAAAGATTTATTGTTGCTGCAGTTCGAGATGCACTTGTCACTTAATTTTGTTATGCTTATTATGATATTACAATAAATTACTTAATGCAGTTTGCTTATTATTTTTCTTCTTGGATTCAGCTAGCGTATTTTTATTTGTATTATATATGCAGATATCTTATGTGTCAGCTGTGCACTGAGTATTTGGATTTGTTGTATTGGATATTGGTCATTGGACACGTTCTTGTTCTTGTTCTCAGTTTGGCTGGGAGCTTGAGTTTATCTAGCGACAACATTAATAACGGTAAATTTGATCCCGTCGGCAAAACGACAAACTAACAAATCGCATTTAACTTAGGCTGGACAAAAACACAATACAAACGGAAACAGAAACGAAAAAATCTTCAAAACAAGCGAGCGAAATAACGCGACGAAACTCGATTGTTTTTATTGCATATATATATATGGATATGTATATATATTGTATTGACTTTATGTTTTCTTTGTTTATTTGTTTATATGTGACTTGTGTTTTGGTTTGGTTAACGGGAGCGATCTCGCTAAACGTTCGAACGCATCAAACAGTGGAAAGTATCTGAGAAGCGTTACGCGGGCGCTTTTAAATACTTACGCCAAGCCGTGAAAAATAATAAAAGCAGCTATCTGAGTCGGTAGCGTGCGAGCGCGCGCAAAGTACGCACCCTAACAGTAACATTTTGCAGTAGCAGTAGCAGTAACAGTAGCGGTTACAGTAACAGCGGCGAGCAGTAACAGTCATCAGCCAACAGTCATAACAGAGAGCACGGGTGTCGCTGATAAGCGACCGATCTGCGTTGACCGATTGATAATCGCTTAGATTTCTATTTACTATTATTTTTTTGTTTCTTACTTCGTTTTGTTTTTAAATTTTGTTGGCTATTTATACGATTCGTATAATTATATATTACTATAACGATATCGTCCGTGATCAAGCTGTGCTAAATCTACTCCTCTTTGGTCTGTGATTATTCATTCGAAAAAACGTTAATACAATTGCAATCAAAGCAAAATCTCTACAGGTGTTTACAGAAAAAGGGAGACCCAAGGAATTGTAGTCTTCTCCTCCAGTGGCAGAATAAGTGTTGAATTGACGTTTCTTCTTCTTCGTAAGAATTACTTTTAGAGAAGATGCAACCTCCTTCGTTTCTAAGGATATTTCTGATTCATAGATCCTCGTTTTTACTCAATGCTGGGCATAATGAAAATAGTGATTTGAAAAATGTTTCATTTCTTTGACTAGAGAGAGAGAAGAATAAGCTACAATTGATATATTGAGCAGCGTACAAGCGAATGTCTGGCTGTGCTGGCTTTATTGATATTCAAAATGTGAACGCAGAATGCGATTTGTAATGCTAATTTTATATTGATAGATAACAACACTAATCGCAATGGGCGATTCAGGCGGCAAGTCGACGCCAGTTGCAACTGTACCACAGCATTTGCGTGCTTCTGTTAATGATATTGTTGTTGTTTTTATTGTTGTTATTATTATTGCTATTAAATGCAGATGGCAGATTGGGCACTCTGTAGTAGAAGAGACAAGTAACGGCAGCTGATAAGCACTGAAGCACTCACTGCTTCTAAAGAGCGTGGCTTGATTTGTCTTTGAATGCCAAACAACTGAAGATTTACTTTATAACGTTGTCAGATTGTTGAAGTGCTCCAATTGTTCAAATCCCAATTTACTTTAACCAACCTAAATGAAGAAGAGTTCCGACCCATACTTACTAATAGATATATATACATATATATATATATATATAATTAGTTGCGATTTAACTGATCAAAGAATATATTTATGTATAAGCGACACTAATGAGTGCACAGTGTGCACTATAGCGATTATTGGCGATTATTGACTCTAATCGATGACAACGAATAGCAATACAACAACCACACAATGAGCTCGTGTGCGCAGGCAATGTGATTCACAGCATCTAAAGAGATTCAGTTGCTCAGATTGTAAATATGAGTCAGTCCGCAGTTGTATCGCCAATTGACTGTTATCTCAAATTCATTTTTAACACATCAAATGCAGAACGAATGGTTTGTTTTTGCTTTTGTTTTTTTATATGCAAATAAAAGTGGAATCAAAAATGTTTTTTTTTTTTTAGAGTTGCTTATTGAATCATAAATTCGTATGGCAAAACATTTACGTAGAGCAATGAGCTGGGCATGAACATGAAAATTGTGTCTGTTCGCAACGTTCTATATAACATACATACATGTATTAATTACAGACACAGCAGGTGTTATGCCCAAGATATGAATGTGTAGTAAATATATATGTATGTTAATCAATTTTTGTAACTAAGTACGTGCCTGGCCTATAGAAGTAACGTTGAATATACAATATTAAATCTCTCTCTTTCTTTCTTTACATAGGCTTTGTTGGAATCCATAACGATTGTTTTTTTACATAATACACCACACATTGTCTCTGCACTATTTGGCTTATAGTCATTGCTTATATATATGTTCTATATATATATATATATATAGACTGCAATTGTTTTATTTGTCATTATTAAATAAATTAGCATTTGAAACGCTTAGAAATTGTCGAATTACAATTGTCTGTTGACTGTCAACGGAGTTCAAAGTTTTTGTTGTTCTTTTTTATATTCTTTCCAGTGACTGACAGCGTAATTTTGAAAAAAAAAAGTGCAAAACAAAAAGTCACAGAACAGCTTTAATACACTTGTAATGAATGAAAGTAATGCAAGTGATTCCTGTGATATACTTGACTGCCCTCTGGCAAGGGTAAATGAAGCGCAAAGGGGGTGAAAATATTGAGTGGTTGCTGCACTCGCTGCGGTTGCTGTCTTGGCTGTCAACATTTTTTATTGCTTTTGTTCAGAATTATTGGATTCGCTGTTGTTATTTGAAATAATTTCGGGGCGTTTTTAATGCAGCTGCATCAATAGCACGACAGCAATATTCAATAACAAATAAGAATAATACAATAAAAACAACGACAACAACAATCTCTTAACAATAACAAAAAACAATAACAATGGGCGAATGGTCTGCTTTGCCATGCGTTGCGCTTCTCTGCTCTGCATTTGTATCTGTGTATTTGTATCTTTTGTTGTTGCTTTTCAGTTGTTCTTGCTGAATAATTCAACTGCGTGCGCCGAAAAAAAATGATCGCCGGATACTTGTTCGAATCGGTTTTCATTTGTTTTCATGCGTCGCCTCTCAATTGAGCCACGACCTCAAACCCTCCCCACCCAACGTTCCACCCCCTGCACACCGTTTTTATTTCTTATTTTTCTCCAAACTAATTTTCTTTCCATTTCGTCTCGTTTTCTTGCACAAACATTTCAATTAATTGTTCATTTAAATTGAAAACAATGCACGAGAAAAAAAAAACCGAATAAGAACGGAATTGTAGTTGAAATTGAATTTGAAATAGAGAATTAGGTAAACAATAAATATATTTTCATTTATTCTAATGCTAATACAAAGTTCTATGTAAAAAAAAACCAGTGACTAATGGTCAACGGATAGTGAAATGATGATTCGTCGATCGCCGATCGCCGATCAGGACTAGCTCTAATCCTGACTGCTGGTCATGAAAACTGGCAGTGATCAGTGATCAGGTGAAATGTTCACAAGCTATGATTACTCTGCGAATGTAAGCATTGGTTTAACAAATTGCACAAGACTCGATATTTCAAGTTATAAGATTCTAGCAAAAGTCGTTTTAAGATTTTATAGAAATATTATCACAGGGCTCATCGAATTTTAGAAATGAATGACATTCGCAATTAAATCACTGATTGAAGATCAGAAAACCTTTTTACGAAGTCCAAAATCACTGGTCACGAATAACACAATTGAGATTCTTTATTTTTAGTGGCATTAAAGATCACTGATGGCCAATCATCCTTTCGCTTACTGAATCACTGTTTATTGATATCACAATTGATCACTGACAGAGATGTCGACAAGATCTATTGCAAGTTATTCTTAAAGTTCAATAAAATATTGCCGTTGTTCTGTTTTCTTTTTGCACTTTTCCGCTTTCGCTTTCACCTGGATCGCATAATGTGGCGATAATTGTTATGCATATTTAATTATAATTCATTATGAGCTATCGTGATTTTCAAGTAATTAAAAAACAAGAGACAAGGTTGCAGCCGGGCATAACCGACTGCGAAATACTCTGACACCAATAAGTCATACCACCTTATAACAGGTGCCACAGAACAGGATGGGTGTTGCCAAGAAATACCGAAAAGATTCGATTTTATATTTAAATGTAAGCCCAACTGGAAGACGCGTCGCGCTTATTAAATATTAACAAATTAATTTGTTTTCAATTATATTGTTTTCTGATATCCTTTAGCCAGATTTTGGCGTGTGTAGGGCGAGGATTTATTATGTTTTCGGTTTGGTTGTTGTGGTACGCACCTACTACTTGAAGAGGATTCGGAGTTGTCTTCGTCGATTTCGCAAATTGATGGCTGCCTCTGCCTTCTGGACCTCTGGATTGGATATGTAGCACGTGAACGGTACTCAGCGAATTAACGTGATAAAACAAGAACGGTATCACTAAATGGAGAGCTCTACGCAGCTCCAAAAGCGATTGGACAATGCGTTCAGTTTGGCGCCGGGGCGACGTATTTATAATCGGCTGGCAGCCTCCCTTGACCAAGTGTGTGCTCTGCTGCTGCTGCTGCTGCCGCTGCTGCTGCTGCTGCTCTCGCTGTCGCTGTCACTATCTGTGGCTGTGCCCCTCCCCCTTCTCATCACTACCCGACAACATCTTTGTCAACGTCTTCGTCTTCGTCTGTGTCTCTGACAATGTCTCCATATTTGTTTGATGTCAACATCTCTTTGCATTGTTCAAGCTGGCGATCTTTCTCTCTCGGTCTATCTCACTCTCTCCATCTATCGCTCTCTGTCGCTCTGCCTTACCTTGTCCTCTGGTTTAAAAAAGTTTTGTTGACACTATCTCTGGATCGGGCCGAATATCAGCCAGCCTACAAGAAAGTCGGCATCTTCGTCTTCGCACGATATCCACGAAGCATCTCCGACAACAACTGATGCTTATCGCTTGTGGATCGTGCTTATCTCCTCGGGAAGTGGTAAAAAGTGTAAAAAACAGTCCAAAAAAAAATGGTGAGGGGGTGGATAATATGATATCTATATTCAGACATATCGCAAATAGCTCTATATATACATATATAAAAATATTAAATATTATAATATGCATATTTATCAGCTTTACTGTGTTGTATCTGTGTCTATAGATGTCTGTCTGTTTCTGTTTCTGTTTCTGTCACGGACGATATTTGCGTGCTGATAGCAGTTCATGACCAAACAACCCACTTGCCACATATCCCACTCCCTGCTCCCTGCTCCCTGCTCTCTGCTCACAGCTACCTACGGCGGCAAAAGATCTGCGTAATTGCCTTGCTTCATACATTTGATTCGGTGTGTATATTCCATAGTTTTTTTCCATGGCGCACAAGTGGGTCTTCGCGTGAGAGGAGACCCGGGGGAGAAATTGAATTTAAGCATTCCAAGTTCATACTCTTGCTG